ATGAGATGTTTTCATTCTCACTATTTACCGAGTCCTTGTGACCAACTGCAAAATGGATAAGGAATGCGAGGACATCCACTTGTCTCATGATTTCCTCAGCTCTTATATTCCCTAGGAATTGAGAACAAGTGAATATGAAATATGATGATATGAGTTAATCGTCTAGATATCGTGAAATGAATCAACAGGCATGTGAGCATAATTTTCGGATGAACTAAATGTAATTCAATATGTGCTACAAGTGATAAGAGAAAGCAGAATAAATTGAACGTTTCCACATACCTTCAATTCGAAATTGACCAAATCTCATTGGTCTCGGAGATAAACGCTTTTCCCCTTCCTTGATTATTGAATTGTAGTCGAGATTGTATGGAGCATTCAGGTGCAAAGTGATATAGCCATGAATAGTGTTTCCGTTATAAAAATCAATCTCTGTTTTGCTCGAACCACAGCCTTCAAAGTCACCTTTTTCTAATGCTAGACCACCGAGCTTCAACGCCTCCTTAACCTAAGGGATGAAAATGTAAATTTGCAATTAAGCCGCACACGACACGTTCTACATAGGACAAGGAACTGAAAAAAAACAAGTAGACGTGAAGACAACATGCCAGTCGTACACATTCTCTTGACACAGTCAGTAGTCTCAACTACGATGCTGTCAGGTTCAGACTGGCACAACTTCCCTAACTTCTATGTCCGTTTTATCCACTATCATGTTGACTACGAGGATCACAATTACTCCTTTCACACACCAAATATCATACAATATCATCACGTAAAACAATAACCTGACTTGCAAACACACTTCAGCATACTTGAATGACGACAGTGTTGAATATTTCACCTGTGACTGTGAAAACATTTCAATCAACCACATGTTATACTCGATGTTATGAAAATTATTGAAGAGATCATGTACAACCGTTTAACAATCTCTAGACACATTCAATCAAAGTGGGTGCCTCCAAATGTACATTCTGCTTCGTCACATCACTCCTCGCACACTTCACATTTCCTTGTTCACCTCTGAGATTTGCATACAAATCTTGAGGTTTTTGAACACACCAGTAGCTGAATTGCCCTTCGTTAATCATGCATGCTTGAGTGGTGTGTACATCAAGTGATGGTATTCAAAATGTGAAGGAGATGGACTAGAAGTGACTGTACCACACACGTTGACTCTCCTGTGTCAAGTGGAATTCACCTCGACTAACAAACATATCGTGGATTCAATCATTCATCATTCCACTCCACTTCATCTGAACATGAGGATCAAACAACATTTTTCGAAATGTGTTGGATGTGTTTTCGGTACTGAATGTGTACAGAATGAGAATATGTGATGATAGTGGTATAACACAGACGAGTTGATTATTGTATTTTGCAATGCAGACACTGGGTAGGATGTTGATGTAGGACAAGTGGAAATATTTAGTAGTGGAATAAATCGGAAATTCTGTGTGAGTGACTTGCCAACATTTCTCCTTATTCATTCATCATTCAGCTGCATAATGCTTGTATACTACAGCATCAAATTACTGAGTGACTTACCGTGTTGCAGAAGGCTTCATGCTACTTCCTTCGTTGCTTATATACTCATTCATTGGGATGGGTCTAAGATGCACATCAAGGAGTGTAGCATGCACTTTAATACTGAACTTGCTATGGAAATAAAAATATAATGTGAAGGTAATTAGTTTGGTTGATAATAATGTCACAGATCTACACATATTTTTACGTTCCACAAAGTGTACTGACTTCTAACAGTGCCTCAGATGGATCTGCATCTCATACCGACAGACCAACGACATCTTGTTTCGAGTTTTCTCCCAAAAAGCCACTGCTTGTAACACCCCATACACCGATGATGTCCATCTCGTCACCACTGTCGTTGTTGACTAACAACCTCCATGTAATTCCGTCTCATCAAGATAATAAAAGTAGATCAGCTTGCTGATCACTTCATCAACCTGGATCAACAGAATTTGTGATTGTAGTCAAAAGAATGTCCAACACTTGTTTCGCCAATTCCTAATACCATGAAATCTTCCTCTGAATATTAATGAATGGCTAGTGTTGCAGTGGGAAATACGCCTTGAGTCGGCACTGTTCAAATGTTATTTCTCCAAACTGGTTGACCACAGCACTTTACAATACAATGAAGACACCAATTCGTCACCGTATTATTCCAATAACCAGTCTCTAGTGAACGCCTGCCAGTCATGACAACCACCGGGAACTATTGTCACTCGTCCACAGAAACAATATTCCACAGAGGAATAACGCCACAGTAATCGAGATTGTGAAATTCCGAGTAATCGAAAGTGAATTACCTTACACGACAACTCGCATAAATGTCAGTGACAGTTGAAGCGTCTTCTCACTGAGGCATGTTTAAACCGCTCCACTTGAATTGACTAGATACTCAGAAATTCAAACCTACACGACAACATATCTACAAATATGAACTGAGTAGTTGGATGTATGCTGCAATCAGATTGTTTACAGCAGCGATGTTGTCTCGTTGGTTGCTTACACAGAGAAATGCCATGCATTCTGTGCTTTGATATCACGACATCTGATAACCAGATGCAATGGGTTGTATTCACAGGATGGCATTATGATGCACTCAGAAATATCTCAGTATAACGTTGACAATACCAAATCCATGAGTACTGTGCAAGGAGTAAACTTGTGTATGAGGAACGCAAACCCTTGTTGGAAAAGATAATATTTGTGTTAGTGTGGAGGATTGTTGTACTGCACGAGCCATCTATGTCAGTACACCATGGAGGAAGTTTCAATAAATAAGTTTCAAAACATGTGATAATGGATTATTTCTTCTGGATTACTCGGTATTGGGACGTCGTTCCAGACAGGTGAGTCTCACGTTGATTTAAACTTTCTATTAAATTCCATCACGCTTCTCTTCAAAACGCATCCATTATGTCACACAGAAACTTCCATCAATTGTCTAACATATATCACTACTGATATAATTCACGCAGTCGTTTCACGCAGTAAGAGATAATATGTGTATGTAACTGTGTGTATGGAAATCAATAATTGTCACTGAGGCATTGAAAGTGATTATGAGAAGAATTACTTTTAGGCAGTGTTGTGTTGAATCCACCAATCTCCTGCGAATCAATCACAATCAACTGTAGTATGGAAAGAAGGACGACTTGAAGTGTCATTCTACTGCTTGATGCTGCGCCTGAAAGTGAAATATTTGAGTGAGTTAGATGCAATCACTTCTCAAAATATGAAAGTATTGTGTCATGTGAATTCACCGAAAAACGTCTTCATCTACCTCAATTGTACTAGTCACACTGTACGCATTCCACTTGCTGTTGTTGCCTTCAGTATTGGCCTGCGTGACACTGTCATTGTAGTCGATCGCTTTCGATATAACCAAATGTTTTGTACGCCGTCAAATATCAGCTTCCACGATACTGTTAGGAGTTGAGAACTCCACATTACTAGGTGATTAGTTACTCAATATGCATGCATGTCATCTTTGCAACTTCTTCTTCTTCTTCTTCTTCTTCTTAGCTATCTATGTCATGTACTGGCCATATTATTCGTAAAGACAAACGATTCACACATTTGTATATTTGCAGCTGAGACACTGAGCAGTATGTCGTACACTAGCGATGACAATCATCAGGCTGTACAGCGCCTCATTGTCCAAACGTTTCCAAACTCATTTTGAGTGTAAGTTCTCAAACTTACAAAATCGCATCTGCCTACATATCATCTATGATATTCAAGCTCTCGATATGCACCAAGCTTATTCATTCTCCACTCTGTCCATGTCAACATATATGCACATATATACATATATATGAAAGCCAGTGAGCAACCACAACAGACAGCTCGATTTCGAAGGAGATATTTCTTCAGGTCACTGGTTCCTTGTTGATGAACATGTCATATGCTGTCATTTGTGGGATATATCGGAAGGAGTAAGTCACCGCATAGTGAATGGCAATCTGAAGTTTGAAGTGATTTATGTCATTCAAGTCCCTCGGATGGCAGCATCACTCACTGTGGTGCAGGCGCATCCAGCTAGGCAGTTCCAGATAGCAGGAAACCTGTGCCTAACAGTCAGCTGCTAGTCACCGACATGAAGATCGGATGAGATACACACAGAATATACATGTTACTAGTTAACTCCTATCTCTGCCATAAAGCATCACACTTCTTATTTTATCATACACAACTTCAGAACATGTCACAAATATAATCCATAAGTGAGCTTGACATTATCTGATATTTCTTAGTTAGTTTTATTGTGACCTGCGATACTGGTTGAATATCAGATCATTTCGGAAACTGTAAGTGACTGATTTCAATACTGTGGAGTGATGAAAGACTGTGTGTTTAGTGCAGGTTGGTTTACGAAGATCACTTCAAACCAACATCTCCACTCAGTATTGTGTATTAGGATTCAAGGCAAATGAACAGTCAGTTAAGAGATATCAGTATGTAAGTGAATGAGATGACTGTATTAAGGGCCACCTGAATGCAGATAAGACTACTCGTGACACTCTGGTTTCAAATGCATGGTTGGGAGTGTTTGATTAAGAATGAACGACAAGTAACGGCGTTCACCATCGTGTACAGTGTCACGACAACTGGTTCGCTTAAAATATACAAATGAGACATTCATCAGATATTTGTGCATTTGGATAACCAATACTAAAATGAACCCAATACTGACTTACTTTCAATAGACCGGAGCCTGTCACTTGACATAATGCTGTCTTCATACCCACATGAATGAATTACTCCTTCTTATACTCTCAGTGTGACTGAATAACCAATACAATTTCATGAAACGTCACCTGTGTGCATGATGAGTGTGATTGGACAATTCAGGTGAGAAAGTAATACAATTCCGACCTTGACCTCACCTCATCACCAATTGGTTTAGGATTACAAATTGCTACACCTTTTATTGTTCTCAAAGAATGGATAGTACCTTATCGAAAAGATTTATATCAAGGTGTATATGAAGATTTAGAGAAAAAAATGAATTGGTGCCTAACAATTGGACAATTCTATGCTTCAATTGATATGAATTTCAATCAATTATGTATAACATCATTGTGTGAATATGAATTTCCCACTATGTTACCAATAGTAGTTTCAAATAAACTCAATGAGAATCGTATCTTACCAGCATTATGCTCTGAGAATGGATTTAGACGTATGGAATCAATATTTTTACCACCAGCTTCATTCACAATTATTACTCCTTCATTGATAAGAGATTGTAACAAGAATTCTATGGAAGAATTAGAAGTTGATTTATTTAAATTCTTAGTTGATCAAATAAATGATTCTGATTGTATATATACAGTATCATCAAGATATTTTCAAGGGTTTTCAACTGATCAACGACAAGGTTGTCGATGGTTTAATCTATTTTCTGGTGCTGGTAAGTGTAATTGCCTTTTATAGACTGTTATATAATTTAAGACTAGTATTCATCATAGACTGATATCTAGGAGTACTGGACAACTGTTTCATCCTAGTATAGAACTCCTCAGTAGTATGCATCCATGACCTGGCTAGGAATCGAAATCACGATCTTCAGGTTTCATGGTGAATGTTTTAGCTATTCAGCCAAACAGCTATTTGGTGCTCCCAGCTCCCAACTGCTCCCCAAATGATATCGGTCTATGCTGAATACTACTTCTAAATTAAAATCCCCATTCATCTAAAAAAAAATACATTGTTGTTTAATTGTTTAACTCTCTGCCTCCTACATAGGACTCATTTTTGTTACACAAAAAGGAATGAATAAATTGAGTAGGCTGTTGAATGGTTTATATATAAAGATGAGACCATCATAGAGTCCTAATTTCCTAACCTTCTTTGTTGTATAGGTAATAAGATTACCCTTTTATCTCCGGAACAGATTCTTAGTCATTCCTGTTGTTGTATACGTTAAGTGTTGTTGATTGGATTAACAAAGATTCAGTTATCAATCTCTCCCTCCACCTTGTCATGTTAAGTTGAAGGACTTTCACTCTGTCTTAATCAGTCTATTATGTGGTTGTGTGAGATTGTATGCTTAGCTATGGGTGAGCATTTTTCTAAACTCCTTACCTTACTAGGATCTACTAATTTTGATTTACCTAGATGTTTTGTGCTCGGATAGCCTAATTGACCTGGGTCGATTGCTTTGACCTATGTATTTACCCTCACAATTGTTGCCCAATTGGATCAGTAGGATCTTTTAACCTACAAAGCTTGTTTAAATGCCACTCTAATCCCAGCCAACTTTATTGAGAATCTTACACTGTCTCTGAGGTACCCTCTTTGTATGGTAATACTGTAGAGATTTCGAATTTTCTCTTCGCAGTATTGCCTTTACTATTATTAACATTATTATTACCACTATTAACATACGTTACTAATATTAGGTATATTTTTCTTATGACTCCTAAGGAACTTGGGAGGGTAATTGTTGATGAGTAAAGCGTCTTTATTGCATATGGTTTCTTGTCTGAGATATTCTGTTTTATGAATAAGTTTGCTGAACCTGTTACTCATATTATACTTCAGAATCGATTACAATGTATTCTTTCTTCCCAAGTTTCATTACAAGTATAGAATATTGCACTGTCCTAAAAGATAAATTTCGTATTCTACTAAGCTCCCGTATGATCTGCAGATACAATTATCAATCACCTGGTCACTGGTTCAACTCCCCCCCCCCCTCCATCTACCTTAGTTATCATACTCCATGAAGTGTAGTTCATAGACAGACTATTGCTTGTATCCCGTTGTTGATTTGACTGAATCGTTCGATCTCCTGCACAGATACTTCGATATTGTGTATAATTTCACTTTGATGATTATGATCGATAGCTGCTAGCAGTGGGGATTCAAGGTGTGCGTTTCGGCAAACTTGTGATTTGTAGTTTTGAATCCAGTGCACCCGTTAGCCTCTCCAGGATGATGCGGCTTAATATTTTGCTTGCTCTGGGTGGACAGGAGAGTGATTCCGCGCCAGTTCTTGCAAACACTGAGGTCTCCCTTCTTCGTTTATGCTTTGAAGTTTCTTTAGCGGTTAGATTTGTTTTACGGGGTAGGGCTGCTAGCCCTATGCCCAACCTTCCCTCTTCACCCGGGCTTAGGACCGGCTAGTAACAAGTGAACTAGTTAACCAGGCGAGGTTAGTTATTTGATATTTTCTACATAATTTTTCTCTTGTTTTATAGATAAATTTAATGATTTTATCTTACTTATACTGTATAATGATTGATGTTGAAATGAAAATCTCAACCGGGGCTGGACTTGAACTACCAGTCAAGCGGTAGTAACACGTCATGAATTCACATGGTAGTTAGATAAAAACCCTTGGTAATTGAAGTGAAATAAAATCCTGGTCAGCAATTGGGTCTCGTAGATCAGTTGGTAGAGCACCTGGCCCGGTAACCCGGTGGTCGTTGGTTCGAGTCCAGGCGCGGTCTAGATTTTCATCTCACCTTCAATCATCTCCCAGCATGAATACTAGTTTGCTAAACTATGGCTATCTCAGATAGTCAAATACTGATTTTACCGTAATTTATTTATTATTAAAACAATAAATAGTTGTACTAACAATACTTTATAGAAAAGAAATTGAATGTTGAACTTAGTTAGTTCATTGTACCTCTGAAATAAGTTTCATTGAAATATTAATTTGAGGAAGTTATGCAGTTGATATTGGGAAGGCATAAAGCACATCAAGAACTTCCACATTGTTCTAGATGATCTATTCTAAAGAAATATCAATCTTGTTGAAGACAATATAACTGCATATCAATCTTATGTGTCACATTTCATCCCAATATAGTGAGAGTATGCCAATGTTGTTGGTTTTACTTTATTGTTCTAAACTTCGAAGATGATAAGTCGTAGATTTTTGTCGATTATGGACGCTAATTGTAATCCACATCTGAGGAAGTTTTTAATCAGCGATTTCACTTATCTCAAGTACCCTAACCGGGGAGCTTACACCATCTCAACTGACTTAATTAGAACCTGGTTTCTCCAATGCTTTTCTATAATCTCTGTTAGTCTCTTTTCAATGTTATTCTGCTCCAGCTGACATTATGCGTGGGTGTATGTGTGTGCGTGTGTATGTGGCACACACTTTAACGATCAGTAAAACCTCACAAGTCTATATGCATTGCTGATTCTTTGATTTCATTGCATGCAAGTGGTACTACACAGGCTGCCGGTCATACGTTTAATCGACAAAAACAACAATAAAACTTGGAATGCATCTAACAATCGTTTACATACTGATGCACTGTGCAATGAGCCATACTCGGACTGTGGTTCATTGGTCTAGGCACTCGATTTACAACCGATATATCATGCGTTCAAAACCTGATGTACCTACTATGATCTGAGAATCTCTCACGCTATGGATGTTGCTCATTCTTTACTGCACGAAGGTGCACCTAGTTGCTGAGCCGATCCTAATGAGCCACACTTATTGTTTGAGGACTAATACTATCTAGTTTTTGTCAGCCACATTGTGCAGGGCGAAATCATTATTATTATTATTAGTCCCTTGGGTTCCTAGTGGAATATAGGGCTTCAGTAGCACGTCTCCAGTGACCTCTGTTCTCTGAGATCTTTTGAACCTGGTCCCATGACAGCCCACAACCTCTCATTTCCTCCTCGCACGACCTCCTCCATGTCACCCTCGGACGTCCAACTTGTCGCTTCCCATGGGGATTCCACTCGAGTAACTGGCCTGATGCGTGATGTCCTCAGTCGGCCTTCTCAGTGCATGGCCAATCCATCTCCACTTCCTCCTACTGCATATTTGTTGCGTGATAGGTTCTTGGTTGGTTCGTTCCCAGAGCTCCTTGTTGCTTATCTTTTCTGGCCATCTGATCTTCAGCAGCGAGCGTAAGCAGTTGTTGATGAATGTCTGTAGTTTATTGGAAATGCCTTTCGTGACGCGCCAAGTCTCTGAGCCATACAAGAGCACTGACTTGACGTTGGTGTTGAAAATCCGTATCTTGTTCCGCATGCTGAGTGCAGAAGATCTCCACACTGGTTTCAGGCTAATGAACGCCTGTCTTGCTTTGCCGATTCTGACTTTGACGTCCTCGTCCGTCCCGCATGTAGTTGAAACAGCGCTTCCTAGATAAGTGAAGGAGGTTACTTCCTTCAAGTTTCTCCCGTTGATGGTGATTGGAGTTTGTTGTTGTTGATGGTGGTGGTGCGGTATCTTCATCACTTCTGTCTTCTCTATATTCACCTGAAGTCCCGTCTTAGCTGCCTCTTCTATCAACTTGTTAGTTTTTGCCTGCAGATCTTCAAGTTTGTGTGACATTAGGCATAAGTCATCGGCGAAATCCAAGTCTTCTAGGTTCTTTTCCGTCGTCCAGTGTATCCCCCTTTTCTCGCTGCCTACTGTTTGCTGCATGATCCAGTCCACCACAATAAGGAATATCATGGGGGATAGTAGGCAACCTTGTTTCACTCCTTCTTGTCTTCACTTCAAAAGCATCACTGAGCTTCCCATTGTGAATTACTTGGCTGGCATGTGGCATGCGTCTTCATATACTTGTTGAATGAGGCGGATAAAGGTTTGCGGTACTCCGTAGTATTGAAGCAGTTTCCAAATTACTTCTCGGTCGACGCTGTCAAAGGCCTTCTCAAAGTCGATAAAGTTGAGGTATAGAGCTGATTGCCATTTTATGCTCTGTTCTATGATGATACGAAGCGTTGCAATTTGGTCTGCACATGATTTGTACCTCCTGGAGCCTGCCTGTTCCGGTCGCAGTTTTGAATCCAGTGCGTCTTTAAGCCTCTCTAGGATGATGCGGCTTAATATTTTACTTGGGGTGGACAGGAGAGTGATTCCGCGCCAGTTCTTGCAAGCACTGAGGTCCCCCTTCTTCGGCAGTTTGACAAGGTAACCCTTCTTCCAATCACTAGACAGGTACCTTCTCTTCCTTCCACACCTCCTGCAATAGTGGTGTAGTGTGAGCATGTCCGCTGTTGTCTCTGCCTCTGTTCTCAGTGCTTCTGGTGGGATCCCATCTCGTCCTGCTGCTTTCCCACATTTCAGTAGCTTTATGGTGTTCATAACTTCCATTTTTGTTGCAGGATTTATGTTCACTTGTAGTTCAGCGGCTGGACTGCTGGTGGTATTTGTAGACGAAGTGAAGGTGGTGGTCGATTCAAGAGCTTCTTGAAGTGGTCGGCCCATTGTTTCCTTTGTTTCTCTTCTTTCCTAATTAAATTCCCGTCATCATCTTTTATTGGTTTTGTCTGTGTTGATCTCTCCCCTCCCAGATAGCAACCTGGTTATTTGATACAGTGTTGTCAGGTCTCTGTCTCTCTCACCAGGCTGCAGCCTGTTCTGCTTCACTTGCCAGTGTTTCGTAGAAGTGTCTTTTGTCTTTTCGTGCACTCTTCTTCACTTCTTTGTCCAGTGCAGTGTTTTATACATTGCACTCAGTTCCTCTTCTCGTTGAGCATCCTTTCCTGTACTGGTTTATCTTCTGCTTCACCATCCTCCTCTCCTCTATCAGCTTCCAGGTATCCATTGAGATCCATTCCAGTCCTTGTCTTCTTTATTCTTCCTTCCTAGTACTGTTGTGCAGGTTTCTTTCCACATAGCTTTCAAAGACTTCCAGTGTTCTTCCACACAGGTTTCTTCAGGGATGTTCCTCGATATCTCCCATTTTGTCTTGATGCCTGGCTGAAGTGAAGATCTCCTTTGTAGTTTCATCCTTCAGTTTCCGAGTGTTGTACTTGAATGGCGGTCTATCACCACCTTCCTTGAAGGCTTTTAACTTGATTTCGAAGGTTCCTTGCACTAGATAGTGGTCTGAACCTACATCTGCTCCTCTTCTTGCCCTTGTGTTAAGTAGACTGTATCTCCATTTTCTCGAGATTGAGATAAAGTCGATTTGATTTTTAGTGTGTCCATCTGGTGAAATCCATGTCGCTTTGTGGATATCTTTGTGCCTGAACACACTGCCTCCAATCACCAAATCGTTGAATGCGCAGAATTCTGCAAACAATTCTCCATTCTCATTCATTTCACCTAGCGCCTCTCGACCCATGGTTAGTTCTCTTCCCGTGTTGTCCCCTCCCAGTTTGGCATTCATGTCGCCCATTAGAATTTTGATATCGCCAACTGACGTCTTGTCCAGTGTTGATTGAAGTTGTCTGTAGAAATCCTCCTTTTTCTCTTGCTCTGCATTATTTGTAGGTGCATAACATTGTATGATTGTGACCTTTCTTCCTTTTGAGTTGAACCTCGCTGTCATGATCCTGGAGGAGATTGGTTCCCACCGCATGAGAGCCTTCGATGCTCTTGAGGACATCATGATAGCCACTCCATAACTCAGTATGCTTGTGGTTGTCGTCTGTGTGACAGTGTCGGAGTAGATTATTGATTCTCCAGTTGACAGTTTGGAGAGTCCACTCCCATTCCATCTGCTTTCGCAAATCCCAAGCACTTCGATGTGATACCTTCTCATCTCGCTTGCAATCTGGGCTGCCTTACTGGGTTCAAACATCGTGCGGACATTCCATGTGCCCATCCTTACTTTCGCTTTGATCGAGGGAGAGAAGACACATCGGCCAATTGGCTTCCCGAAAGCTTTCACCAACTGGCGTCATTTCGCCTCTCCGATTCCAGCGGGGAATAAGTTTGTTTTCATTTTTTATATTTTGTTTGTGCTTTGAAGTTTCTTTAGCGGTTAGATTTGTTTTACGGGGTAGGGTTGCTAGCCGTATGCCCAACCTTCCCTCTTTACCCGGGCTTAGGACCGGCTAGTAACTAGTCAACTAGTTAACCAGGCGAGGTTGCAGGGCGAAATGAAAGTGCATTATTTCTGCGTGCAATTCAGTGACTGGGTACAGGTTTTATATACCACTTTATTCCTCACAATTATCACTTTGTAAAGACCTATAGTGTCAACTGTGTACTCAAGTCACAGAACCTATATTTACATTCAGATATGCGATACATGGCTAAATCATATTATGAATCAGTGGGTGTTGTGAAGAGCACAAAATCTACATTAAAACTCACCTTTCTGTCTCCCTATAACTTTGTTAAGAAATACGTATTTGTTGCTTGAAACTCTATATGTGATATCACCTACTAAGGTAATTTTATTATTATATTGTATATATTATTTGTCCTTTGGGTTCCTAGTGGAATACACCGCTTCAGTTGCATGTCTCCACTACACTCTGTTATCACTCTGTTACCTCTTGAACCTGGCTCCACGACAACCCACAACCTCTCATTTCTGCCTCACACCATCTCCTCCATGTCACCCTCGCCTCCAACAACCAACTCGTCATCTCCCATCTGGGTTCCACTCGAGGAACTGGCCTGGCGCATGATGTCCCCGAATGGTTTTCTCAGTGTATGCCCAGTCCAGTCGAATCCATCTCCACTCCCTTCTGCATATTTGTTGAGTGATGGGTTATTGGTTGGTTGCCAGCTAAGCAGAGTTGCTTGTTGCTTATTCTTATTATTCTGGGCATCTGATCTTGAGTGTCAGTAAGGAGCCAGCGTAGGCATTTGTTGATGACTATCTGTAGTTTGTTGGGAATGTCTTTCGTGATGCGCCAAGTCTCTGAACCATCCCGTGGAAGCAGTGACTTGAGTGACATTGGTGTTGAAAATCTGGATGTTGTTCACTGTTTATGCTGAGTGGAGTTCAGAAGATCTCCACACTGATTTGAGGTTGATGAAGCGAGGCCTGTATTGCTGTGTTTGCGATGTTTGCTGCTTTGACGTCGTGATGTGTGCCTGTGCCGCCTGTAGTTGAGATGATGCTTCTTAGATATGTGAAGGTGAAAGAGGCTACTTCGTTTAAGTTTCTCCCATTGATGGTGATTGGAACCTGTTGTTGTTGTTGTTGGTGGTGGTGTTGTGGGGGTGTTGGTTAGATATTATCATCACCTCTGTCTTCTTTATGTTCATTTGAAGTCCTGTCTTCGCTGCCCTGCCTCAAGTATTCTGTCAACTTGTTTTTTCGCCTGTAGATCTTCTGGTTTGTGCCACAAGTGATCGGTGAAATCGAAATCTTGTAGGATGTTTTTTGTCCAGTCCAGCGTATCCCCCTCTTCTCGTTCCTCACAGTTTGTTTACTTGCAACTAATCAAGCCATAGATTCGCCTTATAAAATAATCAATGCATAATTCTTATGTTTTTAGTACTTATCGAGTTCTGTAGGGCAGGTTTGCTTGCAAACTGGCTCTTAGACTTTGATGAGTTCCAGAAAATGTGAGGTGTAATGATTTCGTGTGGATTGATTCCAGATGTCTGACGCGAAATCAAAGTACACTCTGATGTTAATTTATTTTATTGAACGGAAGTGTTTGACAGATTTTTCATGATTTGTAGTTGTGTTAGCAACTACTAACCCCGTAGTTTTAATACTATTGTCATTATTTTTATATCATATACACAGCTAATTTTAATTTTTTATTTTCTTGTTAGGTTGTTACACTACTACCTGTGACAGAAGGCAATGACTCTAACATTAGTAGTAGTACTAGTCTGTCAACTGTTGAATATACTGATAAAAGTTCAAAAATTTGTTTATTTGCTTGGTCGAAACCAATCTATGCTAGAATGATTCATGAAGAAGTCTACTGTAAACAATTGAATCGAAAAGATAATAACACTGATGTTATTTCTTCATCTATGCCTACGTCAGATTTTCCATTCAGAGTTATGGCACAAAGTTTAGGTTGTCTACACGCACGGTATGTTCCAGTTGACAGTCTTTCAAAGCGTATACCATCATCAGTATTTAGCTCTTCTTTGTTACTGGATCAGTTCACATCATCATCATCTTCGTCAAGACAGTATCATTGTGAAGGAACTGCACATGGTCTATTACTTGATTTATTTGGCTTACCGGTTAGTGAATATTATGCATGGTTTGTCTGTTTGACGCTTTTCAATTGATGTGTAAAACGTTATATCTCGTCACACACACACACACACACACTTGTTATGTAACGACTGATGGTACTACCTTGCTGTCCTAACCATGGTGATTGTAGAAAGGCATGAATCTATCTTCCACTGGTTGAAATTCTATTACATAGGTAAATGAGTCGCTGTTCTACTGACGAAGAATGTTTTATCCGAAGCGGTAGTTCATCATGTCTTCACTTTAGTGGTATTATCCCTGAAGTCAATTCTATGAAGCTGCATAGAATACACTTAGTAAAGATAGTAGTATTCTCATGAATTGATCATCTGCTCCTTCATACTTAGATTGAATTCAAATACTTATCAATGTATCATGATTATCTACACATTGGAAAGTCAATACTGACCGACTGAATTTAAGAACACCGTTATAAGAGGTTTGTTTCTTATCATTTTCTGTATACGTTAAAAAAAAACTATAGTCTAAAGCTCATAGTTAAATTTAGTAGAGTAATTGAAGTAAGAAAGCAATCAACCAAGCTTATTGTTCTGTTGTAGTGTATTTCTACTGTCAGTTTCTTTGAATTGTTAGTGATAGTCAACAGGAACTTTACTATTCACCTTAGAATAACATATTTCCTTTCTAAAATTCATGTTGTATATTATGTCTGATATCAGTTAGGCGTCTAACTGCGGTTCAACAGATTAACTAACTAACTTTGAATCAAATAGGTCATAGGTTCAAAAATTATTCTATTTACCGAAGTTTATGTGTTTATGTGTTCACATATACCTTATACTATCTGTGTTAATAACTTCGAAGAAAGTCTGATATCTTTTTATAATAATCGAATAAGCATTGTTTATCCAAAACAACCTGAAGCACTAAAAACGTTGATTTGAATTGCTGTATTGTCTTCCTTTTTGGTTCCCTAGATCCGGAAGCAATTTAATCACTATGTACGATAATTGATTCGTGTATTTTTTTTCTCCCTCATATCATGATTTTACTGAATAGGTCATAGATCGTACCGGAGAATTATTTATCAAGCATCATCAAGATAAAAATTATCCTGCCTCTGGTATAAAATCTGATTCTTTCATGATACCATGTCGTTCATTGGATATGTTTTTAAAAGGTCTTATGCGTTTGATTATGTTATGGTGTTCTTCAAATCAATCCTTGTCTAATGCTAAGATTCATTCATCTAGTGATGGTAGCAGCAGTGGTAATGGTATTAACACCAACAACATCAGGCATCATGATTCTACAATTGCAATTGATCAGGATATTGTTAACTCGATAATTGAGTCGAAGGAGATAGATGCATTTTTGGTAAGTTCCACTTCATACGATGTATGTGGTCTTCATCTATGCGTTTCAACTATTTAAGTCAGTTGATTATACACACCCGATCATATATTCATTCTCCAGCATAGACAAATACTCCAGTTCCTTACATAGTGGCTTTCGATTCCCACGATCAAGAGATCTTGTGGTAATGTCTCAAACTGAAAAGGGTGTTGTTTAAGTATATCACTCCGTTGAAGACTTTATATGCAAACATTCTTGGGTGTTTTAGTGCCAATAGCTAGGTGTTGTGTTTATCCAATGTTATCAGTCATGGCTACGCACTTTAACCTGATCATTGGCTTCTTGATGGTCTTGTCTGTCTGCTGTTGAGTTGATTTTAGAAAAATAAATCTTATCATTGGTACTTCTTTAGTAGACTTAGAGTAGGCAGATGATAAATTGATTTGTAAAAGGAGGAAGCTGACAGTATACCAAGTCTTCTAGACATTTTGAAAGGAGATTTAAGAATGTTTGAGGTGTGTTCAAACGCAAAGTTTTGCTCCAGAACTGATCTGCCTTGATTTTCCGTCCAACAGTAGGGAGTGAAATGGTTGAGCTCATGGGCCACTTTACTTACTCGGGAAGTTGAATCAGTCATTGTCTATCACACATGAGATAGATTTAGGCTGGAAACAACGTTGAAGGCGGCCAATTAATAACGTGACATTAGTTCGTATAGTCTTTGACCATTTATTTAGGCCATGCTGGGAAATGCAGACTCAAAACTAAACCGAAATCCGCTTATTATCTTTGTGCACATTCTTGCAGTAGACGATGAACCACACCTATTGTGTGACGGTTAATGACAGACACTGGAAACATCTAGATTGTTGCTTTTGCAAATTGTTGTTTTGAGATTCGCCTGTTCTAATATACCACTGGCACCGGAACCCATGGGGCATGAAGGATTACGCTATTTTACGGGCGAATCTTTTCTAACCCTCGTTTCCTGTAGAAAAGGCACTATCAACGTGGTACTACTGGTCATTCGAGGAAAACACCCAACTACTGTCACACTCTCATCCAACCAACAGTACGACTTTGAAGGCCAATAATATTACGTGGCTGCGCAAACCTTGACATATAATATGTGTTCATCTAAGTTGTAGTAACTTGGATCGTTACATCATGATGCCAAGTTCCAAGTTGATATTGACAGGTTGACTTTATTCAGATGAGTATGAAACTTTGTTATGCGCCAGGCCAGGTACTCGAGTGGAATCCAGATAGGAAACAGTGAGTTGGGCGTCGGAGGCGAGGGTAACATGGAGGAGATGGTGTTAGGATGAAATCAAAGGTTGTGGGCTGTTGTGGAGCCAGGTTCAAGAGGTAGGAGATAACAGAGTGTAATGGAGACGTGCTACTGAAGCAGTGTATTCCACTAAGAACCCAAGGGACAAATAATAATAATAATATAATAGTCTAGTTGAAGTCTTTAACTTCTATATCGTACACTTCGTTTACTTTCTCTTTTCGATTGTATATATTCTTTGTTTTTTTTTCTCTTTTTTCCATTATCTTCTAAGGTTGATCATCTACAATTATGTCTCAGTTTCAATATACCTTCTTCTATAATCTCTAATTCAAGTTTATTGCATACATCAAGTATTTCAAGACGTTTAATTGCTTATCTACTAAATAAAAAATTATTTCTTGACAGTACATTAGGTGCTAATATTTTTGCTAATTTATCACAAATTCTACCAGATCATAGTACACAATTAATTTATTTACTATCTGGTTCAATAAATGATCCAATTCTTCATAATACTATTCAAAGTAACAATAATATTATAGAAGATTCAATATTATTACAAATTATTAATTGTATTTGTCCATATGGTGGACAAAGTAAAATTAGTTTAATGTAAGTTTGGTTGAAATAAATTTTGTAATTATTAATACTGTATACTTTAGTTGTACACCTATTACATAGGATACTTTTACTTTTATTCCATTCGACCATAAGTTTGTTTGTTTGTTTTTCAGATGGGAAGAACGCCAGCAAGGCGTATCTGCAGTCTCGACGTAACTGATGTCCTGCCTGAGATTCGAGCCCGCATCACCCAGTGTTGTAGTCAGCAACTTTACCACTGAGCTATTGGGGCTGCGATTGACATCCTGTAGGACTGGCTTACATGTATTGATTGGTGATGAGAGTGCAACCAATTTCATGTTGTCTAATTCTGAGTGCAGACTGAATTCTATCGATCGTATTTGCAATGTGATAAAGTCGCTGACTACAACACTGGGTGACGCGGGTTCGAATCTCAGGCGAGACATTAGTTCCGTTGAGGTTGCAGATACGCCTTGCTGACGAGTGCCAAAAAGCACGGGACTTAAGTCCAGGGTTTCCTACTGATTGCCTCCAACCAACTAACATCTACTAGTGTGCACTGCGATGCTGAGCTTCCTAGCTTGGTTGCTACATTGCAAATATGTTCCATAGAATTCGGTCTGTACTCAGGACTAGACAACATGAAATTGGTTTCACTCCCGTGATTTGATAGTTAAAAATGGTTTGTCAAGCATGACAACACAAATCGTGTTAATTATATGAACCTTCATTGAAAAATTAAAAACTGATGAGTAGTAGTGAATATGAATCTAAATAAGTTTGGACAAGAGGTTTCGGAACATGACGACGAAATAATTGGGAACTGAATCGCGATCAGGCAGACCATCGCAACAAGAATCAGTAGCAAATTACTTAAGAAGTGAATAGTGCCGAAACAGAAAAGAAAAAAAGGAGGTAGAAGGGACTGGAAACTAAAACTACGAAAAGAGAAGGGGTTAAACAGTATTCTTTTGCGTACATAGTTCAGGTTTCTCCATATGGATGACAAGAGCTTCAGCTATGCAGAGAATACGAAGACAAACAGTCTTTGAGTGATTTTTTTTCGCTTTAAAGATGACTTTAAATGAGCAGGTTCTTGAGACGGGGTAATTTTGTTCACGATGCTTTCAGTTATAGCATTGCTTATCGCTCTATTGTTACCTCTTCGTAACCACACGAGGTAGTACTCTTCAACCTTTTTTGATAACAGTTGCATCTAACGAGCAGGTGAATTAATCATATAGACATAGAAGTGGTTAGATGCAAAAGTTTCTTCTTTGAGTTGCTGGAAATCGTTGGGCAATAAGAGAATACTAGTCTCAGCGTTGATTCAAAAGAAAATTATCCTTAAAGCGTTTGATATCCTCCTTTTCAGAGTGTCAGCGGCAGAATCACCTTGAAGTTTAGATTCATATAGAGTATCCTTTTTGGCACGATGGTAAGGTTCTCTTTGCGAGGTTTCGCTTACAACTCATAGGGAGGGACCCAACTGTTTAAGTTCATCAGTTAATCATTCCACGTTGGATTTCTGTGAATTGATCTACTCAACATTCCATCAGCTGTTCTTGTTGGCTGTAACAATGGAGTTACAAGACGTATACTTTTTTTTCTCTATGACTCAATGGGCATGTTTCGTTGTATACTTTTTTCTAACTGATTATCTTCAGCTGAGCTCAGATCACTTGAAGTCCTTGAATTATCGATGCTGTGCAGCAAGGTTGCATTATTCTCAATTGTTGGTCAACAAATGACAACTTGACACCTGTAAGCTACATCAATTGGTCCACGCTCTCTAAGAAATACCACAATTGACTTCGAAATCGTTTACCTAATGACTGTCTCATAGTTTCACTACTCATGAAACCATTGATCTGAAGAATCAATCAAAGCGAAACGTCGTCGTTGCGATGGTCCATGCGACAAACGAAATCAGTGATTGGGTACTTCAGGAAACGAGGTTGAGAATCATTCTCAGTAGGCAGATGGATCCATACATTATTTTAATCCAAACATTTATATTACATTCAGTTATCTGCTTGGCTCTTGTTCTTCTTATCCTCCTCTTCTGATGATTTCCACTACTTTTGCCCAAACATTTTTCTTTATTATTTCACCTTTATTCAATCTCGCTACTTCGTACCTCCATGTACTGATACGCTTGAGATTATGATGCTACAATAGCAGGTCCCGTGTGGATATTGGCTGAATGATAATAGAAATATACAATAACTATGCACTAGATACTTAGTCAATAAAATGCGTTTGGATACCTCACGGTATTTAATTACAAGTGGGATCATTCGCAAAACGTCATTTTCAAGTTTCTTATTTGACACAACTACTTTTCGTTCAGGGGAATGATCAAGCTGTCTAACCATGTGCACCAACTCATACACGTAGGCACATTTTATTTCACGAATAAATGACCCAGCTCAAAGAACACAATTCAACCAAAACCATCCACCTGAGCTACAAATATTCTCCATCATATCACATTTTATTTCATATCCAAAGTTGATGTAGACAGCCTATGAGATATCGCCTTACGTTTCGAATACATCAAATATTACACTTGAAACTTCTAAAAACAAACACTACATCATTATTGTGATGAACTGTGACTGTTCAGATATGCCTGAGTTTATGTCTGATCCATTCATGAATAACGTTTGAATATCTTATGACATTCTCATTGGTTATTGCTGTTTTATGCTACAAAAATCTTATTGGCTGTCAATTAAACACAACTTGCTGCGAGTGAGCTGGTGTAAACTGGTTGATGCGAGTACCTGAAATATGCGAATCGCACTTACAGTTCTCGTTTTTCTGAACTCCTCTAATGGTCACCCTGGTGAATGCTAAGATAACAAACCAGGTTTCTAAATCTCATACATTAACTACTTGCCTAGACAAACTATCGAAACCTGATTGGTTATTTCAGCTGTTACCACAGTGACACTCGGAGTGAGAGAGGAGAGACTTGACAACATTATATAATATAACGAGGTTATTATCTGAAAACAGACCAACGCAGATGAAACTTATGAAACATAGTGAAGGGAACCTAATTACCAAAGACAAGAAACAAACGAAACCATGGACTGAACACTTCAAAAACCTCTTAAATCGACCACCACCACCACCACCACCACCTGCAACTCGTCCAGAAATACTGCCAGCAACCCAGCCACAGAACTACCAGTGAACACAAGCCCTTCGACAAAAGCAGAAGTGAAGTCCTGAATACCATAAAACTGCTGAAATCCGGGAAAGCAGCAGGACTAGATGGAACTCCGTCAGAACCACTGAAAACACACTCAGAGACGACAAAGGACATGCTCACACCACTATTGCAGAAGGTCTGAAAGAAAGGAAAGGTACCTGCCGATCAATTGGAAAAGCGCTATCTTGTCAAATTCACAAACAAGGGAGACCTGTGCCTTTGCAAGAACCGCAGCAGAATCATGCTGTTGTCGACCCCAAGCAAAATATAAGGCCGCGTCAACCTTGAGAGAATAAAGGATACACTGGATTCAAAATCACGACCGAAACATGCTGACCGGCTGACTTCAGGAAGTACCACTCATGTGCGGATCAAAATGTAACGCTACGCTAGGCATCATCACAGAACAAATTATCGAATGACCGTCAACTAGACCTTTACCTCAACTTCATCGACATTTAAAATGCCTTCGACAGCGTCTACCGAGAAGTAATTTGGCACCTGCTGCTTCAACACTATAAAGTACCAGGAAATTTATTAGCCTCATTCAACAGCTATTGAAGGATGTTATATACCAAGTGATTCACAGTGAAAAGCTCAGTGATGCCTTTGAAGTGAAGAAAGGAAGGAACAAGATAAGGCTGTCTACTATCACCAATCATCTTCCTGATTGTGATCGAATCGACTGGGTCATGCAACAGACAACTGTGAGGAGCCAGAAGATAGGCGTACGCTGTTTGACCAATGAGAACATTCCAGAAGGAGATTTACATATCACCGCCGATGATGATACATATCTAATGTCTAATATCTAATGGCACTAACTCGAAGATCTAGAGTCGAAAAACTTACAAGTTGACAGAAGAAGTGAGGCAGGGCAGCGGAGGAAGACAGGACTTCAAGTGAACGTAGAGAAGACAGAGGTGATGAAGATACCTAACCAACAACAACGAGCTCCAATCACCATCAACGAGAGAAACCTAAACGAAGTAGTCTCTTTCAACTACCTAGGAAAAGCAGCATCCTCTCAACTACAGGCGGTGGTACAGGCACAGATGAGGATGTCAAAGTCAGAATCGGAAAGACAACAAGACAGGCCCCCTTCATTCACCTGAAATTAGTGTGGAGATCTACTCCACTCAGTCAGTACAAAGTGTGAACAAGATGTGAATTTTCAACACCAACTTCAGTCAAGTCAGTCCTGCTATGTGATGGTTCAGAAAGTTGGCGGCGCGTCACGAAAAGCATTCCCAACAAACTACAGATATACGTCACAGCAACAGCTATTGCCTGCACTCGCTCGATACTGAAGAAGGATCAGATGGCCAGAATAATAATAAGAATAAGCAACAAGCAGTTCACTGTTGCTGGCAACCAATCAGTCGACCAAGAAGGTCTCACCTAACGTGTATGCAGAAGAAAGTGGAGATGGATTAGGCATACAGTAGGAAGGTGGATTGGGGACATCACGCACCAGGCCAGGTACTCCAGTGGAATCCAAAGAGGAAGCGGCAAGTTGGGCGCCACAAACAACTAAATTACAATAATGATAATAATAATAGTAACAGCCGACAGTAGAAAGGTATGAGTCGTTAGATTTTATTCCAGTGAGTGGATTGTGGTGTGTCCACTTCGAAATCTATGATAGTTTTGACCTATCGCCAGGTTTGTGTTACGCATTACTGATGAATCAAGTAAAAGGACGAAATAATTCTCCAAGATTTTTAATAGTCCTCTAAATGATATCATTTCATCACTAATAAAATCTGTTTTTATTATTGTCATGTATTATTTCAATTAGCCTAGTGATAATATACTAAATTGGTATATTGTTTTGTTATTTACTACTTTTCTTTATTTATTCTTTAGACAATTTATTCAAGGTTTTATTAATCTAGCTTTATCTATTCAACCTGATTTAACGACATTGATAAATCAAACTATAAACTCTACATTCTTGAGTCAATTAGAGAATTATCTAGTCTCACATGGAGTGAAACAACGTAGAGCTAGACATGAATTAAGTCTTTTATACCCTTCACCTCCATTACAACTACAAACATCATCTTCATTATTATTATTATCATCTGTGAATCAAATAGAAAGTGAAATCTTAACAACTTCTAATACTACTGATCATTTATCAACTGGACAATCTATGAATGAACAGGCAACTTCATTGACTTCATTCGATCAAATACGTTCCAAATCACAAACATTTAATCAACAAAGTACAAGATTTGATACAACACTTAATAATGCTATGCAAGGTATGTATTCTAATAATGTTTTGATTTGTTTCTCTCTCTCTCTCTCTCTCTTCAAATTAAGAGTATATTTGTCATTTTGAACTAGACCAGTGTATAGATCAAATAGAAATTCTTGAATATAGTTTATATTATTATTGTTATTTTTCTCTTGGGTTCCTAGTGGAACATAGGGGCTTGAGTAACACGCCTCTATTTCATTCTCTTCTCTGAAGTTTTTTGAACCTAGTTTTACGATTCTTTATAAGGTTTCATTTCCTCCTCATATTATCTTATCCATGTCATCCTCCTCTCAGACTCGTGACTCATCGTTTCCCTTTTGGATTCCACTGGAGTACCTGGCCTGGCGCGTGATGTCCCCAATCCACCTTCCTACTGTATGCCTAATCCATCTCCACTTTCTTCTGCATACACGTTAGGTGAGACCTTCTTGGTCGACTGATTGGTTGCCAGCAACAGTGAACTGCTTGTTGCTTATTCTTATTATTATTCTGGCCATCTGATCCTTCTTCAGTATCGAGCGAGTGCAGGCAATAGCTGTTGCTGTGACGTATATCTGTAGTTTGTTGGGAATGCTTTTCGTGACGCGCCGCCAACTTTCTGAACCATCACATAGCAGGACTGACTTGACTGAAGTTGGTGTTGAAAATTCACATCTTGTTCACACTTTGTACTGACTGAGTGGAGTAGATCTCCACACTAATTTCAGGTGAATGAAGGGAGGCCTGTCTTGTTGTTTCTCCGATTCTGACTTTGACATCCTCATCTGTGCCTGTACCACCGCCTGTAGTTGAGAGGATGCTGCTTTTCCGAGGTAGTTGGAAGAGACTACTTCGTTTAGGTTTCTCTCGTTGTTGTTGGTTAGGTATCTTCATCACCTCCGTTTTCTCTACATTCCCTTGAAGTCCTGTCTTCCTCCGCTGCCCTGCCTCACTTCTTCTGTCAACTTGTTAGTTTTTCGACTGTAGACCTTCGAGTTAGTGCCACAAGACATTAGATATGTATCATCATCGGCGGTGATATGTAAATCTCCTTCTGGAATGTTCTCATTGGTCAAACAGAGTACGCCTATCTTCTGGCTCCTCACAGTTGTCTGTTGCATGACCCAGTCGAGTCGACCACAATCAGGAAGATGATTGGTGATAGTAGACAGCCTTATCTTGTTCCTTCCTGTCTTCACTTCAAAGGCATCACTGAGCTTTTCATTGTGAATCACTAGGTATATAGCATCCTTCAATAGCTGTTGAATGAGGTGAGAAAACGAGAGGTTAGGCGATTTCATTCATTACATTTGCACAATACTAGTTTATGCTTTTTTTTATTATTTCATGATGGAGTAAATGAAGGCAATATTGAGTTCATTTCAACCGGTTAAAAAAGAAACACTACACCGATTCACTACTGAAAAGTGTAATAATTGATGCTTTTGCCAATACTAATCACTGCATCATAAGTGATTCACCATTCAAAGTCATCTATAAAATGTAAATGAATAGGATACGTTTCTATTCTCTCTGTACTACAGACCTCCTTGCTACATACACATACAACTGTAAATTTGAACAAGATGTATAAGCAAACAATATCACTTTCACTAAGGTCCTTTGCACGTTTTACTCTAATACAATTAGCTTAATCTATCTGAAGAGTTAAATTAATCATGTAGATTTGTCGGTTAATATGATGACTGTTTTAAAATGACGATGATGATAATAATACAAATAGTAAAAGTGATAATGTTAACTAAAGCACTTACAATATGGATGACGATAATGATGATAAGAACTAAGATAGCAGCATGAAAATGTAGGCAGACACTTAGATAATCAAACTGAGTGAAAAGTTTATTTGGGAAAATAAAAGTTACATAATACTGAAGGACTAGGTAAGTGGATAAACAAAGTTTAAACAAATACACTAACTATATGATAGGAGTGAAGAATAAGAAAAGGGGTAGGAAAAAAACTGAATGATAAAGTTATTAACTAAGTATACTATGACCAGGTGAGAGATAAGAGATGTACAAATTTCTTCTGGATACAAAGACTAGGATTATTATCTGAAATCCTCATAGCTTCAGCTATGTGTAAAAGACGAATTTGAATAACTTCAGAAAGGTGAGACGGTATACGGTGAATAATCATGAAAGCATTTTTCTTATCTACCAAGTGACCACTATCAACGAGATGAGATAAAACTGAACTTTCCTTCCTTCCAAACCTTCTGCAATAGTGGTGTGAGTATATCGACTGTTGTCTCTGTGTCTGTTTTCAGTGCTTGTGGAGGAATTCCATCTGGTCCTGTTGTTTTCCCGGATTTCAGAAGTTTTATGGTATTCAGGACTTCACTTCTGCTTTTGTCGAAGGGCTTGTGTCCACTGGTAGTTCTGTGGTTGGGTTGCTGGTGGTATTTCTGGACGAGTTGCAGGTGGTGGTGGTGGTGGTGGTCGATTCAAGAGCTTTTTGAAGTGTTGAGTCCATGATTTCGTTTGTTTCTTGTCTTTGGTAATTAGGTTCCCTTCACTATGTTTCATAAGTTTCATCTGCGTTGATATAGTATTATCAGTTGTCTCCTACCAGCAGCCTGTACTGCTTCACTTGCCAATGTGTTGTAGAAGTGTGTTTTGTCTGTGAGTGCACTCTTCACTTCTTTGTTCAGTGTAGTGTTTTATACTTTGTACTCAGTTCCTCTTTTCCTTGTTCATTCCTGGATTGCACTAGTGTATCTTCTGCTTCACCATCTTCCTCACCTTGCTCTATCAGCTTCCATGTGTCCGTGGAGATCCACCGCTTGTCTTGCTTCTACTTCTTTCCTAATACGGTTATGCAGGTTTTTTTCCGCATCTCTTTCAAAGAGTTCCAGTGTTCTTCCATGCAGGTTCCTTCAGATTTGCTAGCCTTATGCCCAACCTTCCCTCTTTATCCGGGCTTAGGGCCGGCTGTTAACAAGTGAACTAGATAACCAGGCGAGGATATTGTTCTAATTTACATGATGGGAATTTTTATATACAGCTGTGAAGAATGAAATCGGTGGAAATTATCATTATTATTATTTGCCCCTTGGGTTCCTAGTGGAACACGACGCTTCAGTAGCACATCTTTATTCAACTCTGTACTCTGCAATCTTTTGAACCTGGCTCCATGACTGCCCATAACCTTTCATTTCTTCCTCACACGATCTCTTCCATGTGACACTCGGCTTAGACACTCAACTGGGTTTTTCCTCTTTGGGTCCCCATTGTTACTTTCGCTGACTTCGGGAGAAGATATATTGGCCAATCGGCTTCCTGAAGACTTTCATCAACTAGGCGTCATTTCGTCTCTCCGATTACAGCAAGGAATTAAGTTTATTTTTATTTTTTTTATATTTTCTTTGTACTTTGAAGTTTCTTTAGCGATTGGATTTTTTTTCCATGATGGAGGTTGCCAGCCGTATGCTTAACCTTCTCTCTTCATAAACATAAAGACAGCGTAGAAACTCTCTCATAGAAGTACCTCGCTTCAAGTTGTCACATGTCAAAGCATCATTTTAAGAAAAAATGCATCGAAAATGAGTAGTGTCAAAGTGGAAAATAAAGTGAGAGCTGTGGTTTAGGGTCACGGGTTCGAACCCCCACTACAACTATGCAGGTTTGAGCAGGCACACAATTTGTGTTACTCATTGCTACATCATGGATATGTGCACAAGATAGCTGAATATGTTTCGTTTCTTTAGGGGGGTTGGGGGTGAAATTTGTAAGAAATGTGAGAATAAAAATGCATAAAGGTTAATCAGAATACTCAAAACTGCAAATAGTTAATACATCTATACTATTGCAATCGATTTTGGGCTATATCACAAAGAATCTTGAACTATTATTTCCCATTGTCTTGAGAATTTCAATCAAATCAACAGTCAGACACTTGAATTTAAGCAATTAACCATCCATCAAATTTGGTCTGGGAGACCGTAATCAAGTAGTTTACACTTCATCTACACAGCTTGGACTAACATTCAGTACTTCATCGACGTCTCGACCACTTCATTAGTGAGATAATAAGCCTGCTTTTAATACTAAGTAATATTATTTTGACTATCTGAGATAGCCGTGCTGGGTGATGATTCAAGGTGAGATAAAAATTTGGACCGCGGCAGGATTCGAACTGGTGATCATAGGTACTGCTCTGCGTTCCACTATCTATCCAATAACTTTAAGTAGGTTTATGTGATGAAAGATGATTGTGTTATGTTATAGTGATTGTTATTGTCGTTTAGGTTATAATTAAGAGGTAATGTTTACAGTGTTAAGTGAAGTAGGCTTAGGTTGAAAAAAATGTCCAAGATGTCCGAACTGAAACATAATATCAGTCATTGAAATCTTTTACAATTTGTCTAAACCATGCACAGAAATGTAGATTTCTTTGTTGGCATCCACAAGACGATAGAAACCAATAGGTGATATAACTGAGTGTCGATGTCAGTCGTGCAGATGTACGCATACACTATTCTTATATTAATCATCATAGTGAATTCAGTATTTTCTTGTGTCTGGGAGCACTGGGCAACTGTTTCGTCTCACTGGTATGAGACTCGTCAGCAGTATGAACCCATGACCCCGCCAAAAATTGAATCCAGGACCTTCAGATTCTGTGACCAGCACGTTAGCTTTGAGCTACTGCATCGGAATCCAATGGTCCACACTTCCTACTTCATTCAGTTCACGATGTATAGCTCGACTTTCAACCAATGTCTTCGTTGAGTAACTATCCTCATTCATTCATTCTATCTGGAGGTTTTCGGTAGTTTATTTACTTATTTCTCTTTCGTCTTTCATGCTGCTTTGTCTCTTAATGTGATGATAGGGATGTGTAGGGAGTTGAACCGTCATGCGGTAATGCCTGTTCCTAAGTTTTACATTATCTTTATGTCTGGCTGTGAGAGGTATCATGATTAAGTGAAAGTTTATCATGGGATCGACTGACTAATTTCGTCTGTTTCATCGTTAGGCACTTCGTTTTATCTGTTGAACAGCATTCTGATACCAATCAATAATTAAAAAAAATTTTTTCTCCCTATTTGAAATTTATTTTGTGCAATACAGCTGCTGCAGCTCCTTTTATTCGCCTTTCAAAAGAAACAGGACAAATAATTGATAATCTTCAGTCTGTATCAACCTTTTGGTCACATGATAATACAAGTCTTCCTGAATACTTAACAACTCGTTTACATCGTATCCTATCAAATCCATCTGAAAGATCAACTGGTATTGGTCGTATAGGTGAATTGTATATTTATCATACACTTCTGGAATATATTCATCGTAATGAACATCATCAGAGTAATTTTGATGAGGTAACTAGTTATGAATTCCCTACAGGTCATCCAATACTTGGTGTTGGCCGACTTATAAGATGTAATTGGTGTAATGCAGATACGGAGTCTTTAAGACCATATGATGTTGAAGTGGATGTTCAAGGTAAACCTATAGTATACTTTATATATCAGTGTTTTCTTTATTAATTCCATATTAGATTTGTTCATTTGATTTATAACACACAGTGATCTAGTTGATCAATCAATATCAACATAGGACCAGGCATTACTGCGCAACGGTCAGAGTTGCCACACCTCATATCAATACATCAAGTAGAAAAACAGTGAGGTGAAGGATGAAGACAAGAGAATGCAGTCAAAAGAAATATAAAGTACGAGAAGAAAGAAGGAAGGATGAGAAAATGGTGAGATTCGGTATAGTGTAGTTAACATGAGGATAGTGTTTGTGGGCATACATCTGCACCACTGACATCGGTTCTCAGCCATCTCGTCACCTACAGTCAGTCTCCAACCACTGGTTCCTCTTGTCCCGTGGACCCCAATCACTTAGTCTGCATCGTCCTACATGGCTTAAACCATCAGTTAGAGACATCATACACTGGTGCCATGTTTTAGTATGGCCACCTCGGGCCTTTTTCCAGCCTGGATCAACTTCGGCGAACACGACAGTGATCTAGTATTATTTACTTGATGACCATGTTTTGAGCATAAATTATCACTGCTCATTATTCCTACTCGCGGCATCTAATCCCCGATATAGGCGAGTATCGCATCACTTCTATTCTATATGTGCTGGGTGGGCTTGATCCGACGAATAAAGATTAAGTAATCGATTCCTCCCTCTCTCTCCATCTCATTATATTTGACTTGAGTAAGTGGTTTTATCCACCACCCCATTATGTGGTTGTGTGTTAATCCATGCATACATTGCAATTGGCGAGTTTCCCTTCCGATTATTGATCTGATTGCAACCTGTCATTCTATATTTAGCTAAATTCCTATGTTCGGCTATTCTAACTGACCCTGACACTAACAGGGCTAGTTTCACCTATGTACTTGACGACACTCGCAGTCATTACATGTAATTTGGTAGATTCGATTATTTTTGTGAATTGGTTCTATCGGATCCCTAACCACCAGGTGACAAAGTTTATCTGTGAGTGAGTTTGCAGGTTTCCGAATGCCACCGTAATTCGAGTTTAGTTGAGGAACCTACGTAAAGTTTGTAATGTGGTTGTGGTAGGGTTCCGAAGACTAAGTCTTACTGCTCACTAGACGGATGTATGATAAGAGTAAGGTGTTTTAGACGGATGAACAATAGTCCTTCCTGATGCTGCTCTCCTTATCACAATAAAAGGGTTAGAAAAGACTGTCGTAAAAATAGCTGACCAGCGAACTTGAAGAAGTCATGGGTGCGCACTGTTGAAGAGTCCCATACTAGTTCAGTGCTCTCAGGTCTCCAATGTTCCTCCAGCTGGTCTCAGTCTATGCTGAATACTAACTTGAAATCAATAAATCCTCACTTAGCCCAAATAAAAAATCGATAACTGTAGGGGTGGGCGAGATATGTAGAAAGAAAGAAGAATTGAGAAGTTTTAAGTAGACGAGATCATATCAACTGTAATTTGCTTCGCTCTGTAGTGAGAACGTTTAAGGAATGTTCTTACCATGCCCATAATAGATATATGTTAATTCTGGTAAATGTGTTCATTCCATTGTTTTTCTCTTTGTTAATTTTTAATTATTATTTAGTTGAATGTGATGCAAATAAATGGGAAGGATTATTAAGAAGTTTAAAAGATGAACTAGCTAACAATGTTGTTCGTGTTCTGCGTAGTCCTTCTTCACGTCAAGATACTTCTTCATCATATTCATCTTCAAGATCAGGTCTATTATCAGTTGGTCCTATATTCCTTGAGGTTAAGTCAACTGTGAAGTCTGCAACCAATCATAATAACAGTAATAATAACGATAATAATAATAATAACAGTAATAATGAGATGGATATCAATGCTGAAACAGATCTATTTGAATTCTCATTACCTGAAGTTGTATGTGCATCTCAACAAGGTTGGCGTTATCATTTATTACGTGTAATATGGAAAACTGATATCAATCCAGATGTATTACAAATGACTAGTGTATCATCATCTGCTCCTAAAGTTATTCATATCCCAGATTTAGCTGGTGTACTAAAACAGAAGTCAGTAAATTTAAGATTATGCCTAGCCATGTTACGAAGTGAATGATTGATAAAATGAAGAGAAGACTTCAAACTGTATAATACATTATAACTATTATCATTTTTGATCCATTGTAATTAAATATCACTTTTATACTCAGTTTAACAATATTATATTTTCAATATGAAGAAAACGTTTCAAAATATAATTTATATGGAGTCATGTTCGAGTTACGTTTCCTCCTGCTAGTGTTTTGTAGTTGTGTTTGTGGTAGAGATTCAAAGGAACAGCTGTAGAAATAATATTAGTCAACAGTTCAGACGATTCGACGAATAAGGATTCAGTAATCGATTCCTCCCTCTCTCTCCATCTCATTATATTTGACTTGAGTAAAGTGGTTTTATCCACCACCCTATTGTATGGTTGTGTGTTAATCCATGCATACATTGCAGTTGGTGAGTTTCCCTTCCGATTATTGATCTGATTGCAACCTGTCATTCTATATTTAGCTAAATTCCTATGTTCGGCTATTCTAACTGACCCTGACACCAACAGGGCTAGTTTCACCTATGTACTTGACGACACTCGCAGTCATTACATGTAATTTGATAGATTCGATTATTTTTGTGAATTGGTTCTATCGGATCCCTAAACCACCAGGTGACAAAGTTTATCTGTGAGTGAGTTTGCAGGTTTCCGAATGCCACCGTAATTCGAGTTTAGTTGAGGAACCTACGTGAAGTTTGTGATGTACCTTCGTTATAGGATAACAGAATGGAGACTGTGAACTCCTTTCTACTTGTGTTGTCGTAATTATTCGTACTCGTGTGTCCTTACGAATTTGTTAATAAACTGCGGAGGATGATTGTTAAGTATTAGCGCTTCTTTTATATATGTTTCAACTTGTTATGTAGATGATGGTTGCACTGACACTAGTCAGTTTTCTAGGTGTATCACTTTGACATTTGACTAGAGCAGTTGCCTTAAGTGACATTGGATGGGATGACTTGAAGTCTAGATACCTACTTGTTGGAATGTGTTGGTTTCCGGGAAAAGATGGTAGTATGGAGAGCAGCATTTGTCCTTCATTTTACTATGCAATCCAATATGAATAATTATCCTTCTTTATTTTCTGCCTCGTAAGTCAATTGGATTGGCCTACTACTGAGTTTATATATGTGTGGGTAAAGTGTGGATATGTTCCGATTTCAACACAGTGAGGGGAATGTGTTATCCACATATGGCCACCATATCTTAGGTGTAGGATTGTATGTTTGTGAAGCCATTTCTTCCCAACTATCCATAAATGCATTTGCTGCGAATGGTGATTCGATTGCTACTGCTTCTGTTTGTCTGTATATTTTGTTCTGAAAGTTGAAAAGTGTTGAGGTCAGGCACAACTGTATGCCTCATATGATCTCATCAACTGATATGTTAGTTGTGTGATTAAGTTGTGAGTCAATATTTAGTTGACTTCTGACTACCTCCAGTGTCATATTGATTGGTATTTTAGTATGAAGACTAGTTACATCGAAACCAACCATTTTTTTTTCATCCTTTTCTATATGGAGGTCTAGAATTTGAACGGTTCCTAATTACGATGCTATGAAGTTTGACAGTTCTGAAGTCAACTATACGTCTTATGGGATAACGTGGCTTATGAACCCTAATAAGTACCATAAATTCTGCTAGGATTATTAGTTTTAGGCATTAAATTGAACCATTTAGACTCACCTGGAGATGACTTCTGTTAGTATATATCACCGTCTGTACATTTCGAAATTTTATTCATGTCCATGTCTAAAGGTTTCTTAATCTCGTCCAGTTTGGATAAGTTCGTCAATTTTGTTGAAATAATCCAATTTGTCCATGACTACTGTTGAATTGACTCTATCAGATGTAGCAAATCATGTGCGGATAAAATTGCATTGCCACGCTGCGCATCACCATAGAACAGAGTATAGAATAGCAGTTAACTCTCTACCTCAACTTCATCGACTTTGAAAAGGCCTTCGACAGCGTCAATGGAGAAGTAATTTGGCAGGCAGCTGCTTCAACACATCGGAGTGCCACAGTTCTTTATCAACCTCATTCAACAGCTATATGACGATGCCTCATGCTATGTGATCTACAATAGAACGCTCAGTGACGTCTTTGAAGTGAAGACAGGAGTAAGACAAGGCTGCCTACTATCATCCATGATCTTCCTGACTGTGGTCGACTGGATCATGCAGCAAACCGTAAGGGGTAAGAGGAGGGGCATGCGCTGGACTAATGAAAAGATCCTAGAAGATTTCGATTTCGCCGATGATTTATGTCTTACGTCTTGTGACACAAACTCGAGGACCTACAGGCGAAAACTAACAAGTTGAGAGAAGAGGCAGCGATAGAAGACGGGACTTCAGGTGAATGTAGAGATGACAGAGGTAGAGGTGATGAAGTGTGGAGATCTACTGCACTCAGCACAAAGCGTGAACAACATCCGCATTTTCAACACCGACATCAGTCAAGTCAGTGCTGCTATGTTGTTCAAAAACTTGGCGTGTCACGAAAAGCATTTCCAACAAACTACAGATATTCATCAACAACTGCCTACGCTGGCTCTTTACTGATACTGAAGATCAGATGGCCAGAATAATAAGAATAAGCAACAAGGAACTCAGTGTGGCTGGCTGGGAATGAACCAACCAAGAACCTATCGCTCAACAAATATGCACAAGGAAGTGGAGATGGATTAGGCATACACTGAGAAGGCCGACTGGGGACATCTCGCGCCAGGCCAGGTACTCGAGTGGAACCCAGATGGGAGACGATGAGTTGGGCGTTGGAGGCGAGGGTGACATGAAGGAGATCGTGGCGCCAGGTCTAAAAGACTGAAGATAGGAGAGTGTAATGGAGGCGTGCTACTGAAGCCCTATGTTCCACTAAGAACCCAAAGGAAAAATAGTAATAATCAATGTTATTGTCACTGCATGCATTATTTAGAGCAGAATTTTCATTGCACGCTGTCCACTAATCGTTTCAGTGGTTGATGTATTCACCGAGTCTAATGCTTACTTATATGCTAGGTATGACATCTTCGAGATTTAGATGACCCTATGTGATTGGATTATGCATTAGGTTATTCGCATTTAAGATTCACTAGAGCTGGTGCTTCACAATAACACACGAGGAACGGGTAACTCCGACGTTCACTTTTAGCAATAGCTGAAATGACCAGTTAGGTTTTGATATTTTGTCTAGCCAGGTAGTTTCGTTATCGGATCTAGGAGCCTGATAAGTTGCCTCAGCATTTACTAGAGTAGCCATCAGCAGATATTAGTTGGCTAAAGGTAATCGGCAGAAAGCTCTAGATCTAGGTATTATGCTTGTTTACATTCGTCAGCTGGGCGTACCTGCAATCTCGACGGAACTGATGTCCTGCGTGAGGTTCGAAACCGCGTCACCCAGGGCTGTAGTTACCGACTCTAACACTGAGCTGTTCTAGTCGCGTTTGATCTCATGTAGGACTGCGGTACATAAATTGATTGGTCACATGAGTGCAACCAAATTCATTTTGTCTAGTCGTGTGTACAGGCCGAATCCTATCGATCGTTTGCAATGTGGCCACGAAGCTAGAAGGTTCAGCACTGTGATGCTAACGTGTCGTCAGGTTAAACTTGTGTGATGTACTTCCTTGCCAATCCAATCGATGAAAGCAAAAAGCCTAATCAACTATCCAATCCACTTTACTTGGCTCTCCGAAAATAAATTATGATTCTACCACACGTATGTATTGCTACGAAAACAAAATATTTCCTTAAATAGGCGTTTGAGTATCGGACCGATGCAACTAATGATGTAGTTTGCAGAGGAGTCTGTTACATCCACGTCAATATTTTGTTGGCTGGATAACCATCAGAGTTGAAGTGAATTCCTACGTGAATGAATCGGTTACCACCTTCAATCATGCGGATTTCCATTGTCAGAGGGGAAATCGATGCTTATATGTTGTGAATTTAATATTTGCATTTATTGTACAAGAAATAAGTTCCAAATCATCTTCGAGTTAAAACCTTTCAGTATTTTACTAGGATCTTCACCTGACACTACTGTTTTGTATTTCTACCCTGAGTGGGACAAGGTATCATCACCGAAGAGTTTAGTCTGTGTGATTTGGAAAGAATAGAGTGAAACTTCCGGAAGCAATTTTACGGAACTTCTGAGCATCAGTAGATGGAAATACCTCACCTTAAACTATAGTTTGGTCCTGAGTGTCTGAGTTATTAGCTTTCAGTAAGGTATTGTATATATATATATATATATATATATACTCTGAAACCATGCACTCTACTGGTCAACTACGTTTAAATCTTGATGCTAATTGGATAACAGACAGGTTTCCTAGATCCAGAAAGCTTCCCTACTAGTGTATGCTATATCTCAGAGCCGATCCACCTTAGAAGCAAGGTCTGTAACGAGCTCCAATTTCTAAAGACCCATCAGGTACCCAGGTACATACAACCTACCCTGGACTCTCTTCAGGATAGAGGGAAGACTGCAGTCAGAGGATGGACTACATTGTTTGAGAAAGTAAGACAGATGAGAGTGTCCCATCAATATTGTTATGCTCTTCTCTAAAAATGGTCTATGTATAACACATATGATAATCTTCTGGATATCAGTCTGCTAATAGTAGCATCTAAAGTGTTGGTTGCTATCACGTTTCACAGATTATTCGAAACGCGTGAGAAACTTATCTGTGAGGACCGAGTTTTGTTTAGATCATGGATGCATTGATCACGTGTTTACCCTCCGTCACATGCTCAAACGCTGTTAAACGAATTTATGACCAATAATCGATGTATTCCTCAATATAAGTGCTGTCTTAGATTCGTTGGACAGAACTCTACTCTAGAATTGTCGATTACACATGAATGTCACTCAGACGCTTTATAACATCCTGAAACAACCTTACTTCAACACCTCAGGTAGAGTGAAGGCTTACATTGTTCCAAATCAATAGGTAGGTGGTGCAACATTGTTTAATTTCATCGTTTCTCGTTAGCTTCGCCGTCCACTACATTCTCGTAAGAGAAATGATGTCCTTTCGTCATTTTTGTTTGTTTCCCGACTAAATGCAATCTGAACGAATTGTGCCATTAACTAAATGACCTCTACCAGGTGTACTCAACGAACATAGTCATGCTAGCAGAGGCCAGTTGTTTAGGCTCACAGAGGGATCGCTCAAGTGGCTAATCCGGGTTACTCAGCGTTTACTAACCGACAGATAGATACTGCACTCTCATACTAGTATTCATTCGTGTATGATACTTCATATACCTTGGATGAATAAATAATCTTGGATTGACATTAGTTGGAAGAACATTGGAAACCTGGGACCATTTCACAGCTGTTTTGTCCCATCAGCATGAGACTCTTCAATAGTTCGCACCCATCACCCCACCCTACACGGACCTTCAGGTTTCGTAGCCACTGGGTTGGAGTCCAGTGGTCCATATTTCCAACTTTTATCAGTTCACGAAATTTTTCCCCACAGCCACAAACACTCAACGATGACATTAGATGACGGTTGGGCTATGTCATGAACTGACAAAACTTGAAAATATGGACTAGTGAAAATTCCAACCAATCAAGTTTATAGTAACATTACTGATTACGATCCTTTGCGGGGTCATGAATGCGTCCTGCTGAGAAATCCTATACTAAGAAAAAACAGCTATTCAATGCTTCCAGGTTCTCAATGTTCATGATGAATACTAAACTTGAAAAATCACTAAATCTCCACAAATCAAATAAACAATCTGTCAAATGAACTGAAAAATGAATAAATATATCTTTAATTTTCATGATATAGACTTATTAAGAAAATTGAAATGACATAGGAACGGAACAATAGTATTAGAGAAATACTTCTTCATACATAAACAACAACAAAAAAGTGAAGCAGAAGAAGAAGGAAGAAAAACTGTACAAAAGTTAATTATCATATGTTTAGTTTATTTACTGGATAATTATTACTGATTACAAGTTATGATGTAAAGTTTAATCATGAGGTTTAGAAGTCAACAATAAATCAACTTCTTCTAATGGTGTTCTTAGTCGTAATTCACGTTCACGTTCAACTACTTCTTCAACATCCTCTGGACAATAACGTACTAGATCTGTATAAAGAACCTGAAGAAGGAAAAAAAGAAATATACAATTACGTATAATTAGTCTTCGCATAAACTCGAAGATCTACAGGCAAAAACTAACAAGTTGACAGAAGAGGTAGGGCAGCGAAGATGGGACTTCAAGTGAATGTAGAGAAGATGGAGGTTGTGATGATACCCAACCAACACCACCACCAACAAGCTCCAATCACCATCAACGGGAGAAACTTAAAGGAAGTAGCCTCTTTCACCTATCTAGGCAGCACTGTTTCAACTATAGGCGGCACAGACGAAGACGTCAAAGCCAGGATCGGAAAGACAGGCGTTCATTAACCTGAAATCAGTGTGGAGTTCTACTGCACTCAGGAACAAGATCTGGATTTCCAACAGTAATCTCAGTCAAGACAGTGCTTCTATGTGACGGTCCAGAGACTTGGCGGAGCGTTGCGAAAAGCATTTCCAACAAACTACAGATATTCATCAACAACTGCCTACGCTCACTCAATACTGAAGATCACATGGCCACAAAGAATAAGCAACAAGAAACTCAGTGTGGCTGGCTGGGAATGAACCAACCAAGAACCTATCACCCAACAAATATTCAGAAGGAAGTGGAGATGGATTGAGCATGCACTGAGAAGACCATTCAGGGACATCATGCGCCAGGCCAGTTCCTCGAGTGGAACCCAGATAAGAAATGGCAAGTTGGGCGTCCGAGGCGATGGTGACATGGAGATCGTGTGAGGAAGGAATGAGAGTTTGTGGGCAGTCGTGGAGCCAGGTCCAAAAGATTAAGTAGATGTCTGTATTTAGAAATTAGGTGATAAGATTACAGAATGACTATCAGACAAACACATATGTACTCAATACTTAAGAGTGAATGAGATAATGACAGAATCGATCGGGTTTAGTGGGATCACCGTGTGAACAATGTTAAAGACAGGCAAAGGGTGATAAACAAGACAGGCTGACAAGTCGATTGACAAAGTTGTGAAACTAAGTCGACTAAGATGGCTTGGATATGAGCTACTTTCTACCTTGACGTACCATGCTGGGGGAACTTGGATTAGGTTGAAAGAGGGTTCAGCAAGACCAGATCAAGATGTGTCATCAGTTGATGACTTTTAGTGTGAGTCGTATTAGAAAGATACAAACTACCTAGCTGGGGTTGGCCAAGACGATAGAGAACTGAGAACTCCTGGTGACATGGCTAAAAATCGGTCATTCTTTAACACCTTCTAAAGCTTGAGTATTTGCACTAACCATTATGCTGGTGGAATTCTTGTTCCCTTAGGGTTTTTCCCATACCATGAAGGTCTGCTGGATAGTGGTAATACAAAAAGCAGTTACCGTCACAGTGTTAATTACTACGCTAAGATGAGAGTCTGAGAATGAAGTCATATTGCTGGTTGGACAGAGTTCTGACAGCGGTCAGGTGTTTCCAGTCAATGACCAGCACTACTATGCTGAGATACTGCCTTCCTTATAGCACACACTCTCCTACATCATAGCATTCCGGAGCCAGGGATATGCGTTCACACTCCTATTCGAAACGATGGAGCTTAGATATAAAACGTTTAAAGACAGCATACGTCACTGGCCTCACAACCCTGTCATTACTCAAGTCCTCTCAGATCCCATCTTAGTACCCTTTACTGGACCTCAATACTGCTCACAGTTTAACTAACCAGCTTGTATCAGTACACTGAGTAAAAAGATAGTGAAGTAGAAGATGAAGAAAATTCAGTCAAAAGAAATATGAAGTACAAGAAGACAGAAAAAAGGAATGAGAAAATGGTGAGATTCGGTATAGCGTCGTTAAGATGAGGATAATGTATGTGGGCATACATCCTCGCCACTGACATCGGTTTTCAGCCATGTCATCACCTAGAATCTCGAACCACTGGTTCTCCTATCCAAAAGACTCTAACCGCCTACTCTGCATTCCCACATAACTCAGTCCAACAGTCAAACACTTCATACATTGGTGTAATGTTTTATTCTGACCGCCTCCCCCACCTTTTTCCAGCCTGGACCTACTTCCCCCAACATTGTGTGATGAGGCAGACGGCAACTACGCATACGCAACACATGTCCCAGCCAATCATCTCAGTCGATGAAGGTTCACAACCTCATCAACTGACTTACCTCTTCTCCCTAAAACTTTACACCTGACTTCTGCGTTACTCACGTGGTGACATCATGGAATACGGCCTGTATTACGAAGGCAAGCCTTCTCATGTCTTCCACCTTCAATGGCCATGTTTCACAGCCATACAGTAGAACAGAACGGACTCTTGGCGTTACCTATACCTATATTGCATTTGCTTGTTGCGAATCAAGGCAATATGGCCTAGGTAACCTAGTTTCTGCGAACAATACTCTAGTTGATACCTTCCATATGGTCTTGTACAGCTTAAGTTTAGGCAAGCCGACTCATGAGATTGTGAACCTTAGTCAACTGAGATGGCTTGGCGCATGCCAAACCACAGTCTACCTCGACGTCCCATGCTGAGGGAAGTTCCATTAGGTTTGAAGAGGAATCATAGTGACGAGACCAAAGTGTGGCACCAGCCGATGAAATCTGTAACTGTTGGTTTGAGCCATTTGGGTACAATGTAGACTGCCTCGTTGAGGCCTTTGAGACAAAAGGATTCTGTCTGTCTGACTACGTTTAGCTGAAACGAGCCAATTACGTTTATAAAGAATAAGTAAATTGAGCAAGCAAGATAAAGCAGACAAAAAAGGCGTACTTCGTCACTGAATGATTCCTTTTATTCTTCTTATCGTTGGGAGAACAAACGTGAAAGTGTGAGAAGTAAAAATTGTATCACTTACTTTGGCCCATGGAACATCTTCAATAGCACGATAAAACACAGCCTTCACAGCTTGACGACGTTGACGAGGATCTAAATTATTTGTAATGACTGAAGCAGCAACGGAAGAAGATGGATTTGATATGTGTGGTGGACCAGCCATCCAACCGAATGCCATATAAGCTCTCCATATAACTAATCGTAAATGTGCAGACCAAAATGATGGTGTACTAGCAGCTAAAGCCACATGAATTAAACCTCCTTCAGGAGATAGAATAGGCGTAATAAATGGACTAGTTTGCACAGCTTTCTCAAATGCATTACGTACTCGTTGGTCACTAATCGATGTTCTTTCTACGCTCGAAAAAGAAATACAAATATATATATATATATATATATATATATATATATATATCATAGGAAGAATAGAATGAAAATTATTCATAAGCATAACAATGTCATGTTAAGGGAATCTCATGATAAAACTGATGAAGACTACTCAGAGTTAAAACTGCCTTTTCACTAGTATTATTTTCAAGTTGTACATGGTTGTGTATAAATTGTATACTTCCTTGCTAACAAAAAAAGGCATACTCCATGAATTTTTAGTTTCCATCAATGTTTGCAGTCATTTGAAAGACTATAACTCTACATCAGAATGATAGTAAGCAGGTGAAATCAAAATCAGCATTTAAAGTCATCAACCGTCAAGGTCGAAAATTTGAATTACAACCTTGATTCCTTGTTACTGTGTAGGTGGAAAAACCTTGTTGAGCAGTCTTGACCTTGAGCTGACCAATGAAAATAACCATCCAATTTGTGACCTAATGGTTTCATTTTACGAGGGAAAACTGTGTATAAATAATATGCTTTCTGTCAAATAAAGTTGCCTTCCCTACAATCACCAGTCAGTCTTTGTTTTCGCGGTTTAGTGAAGTAGTAGGTCCGAGACAGAAAAGTCACTACTCATTTCCAATTCAATTATGCATTGCTTTATTATCCATTTCGCCTATTTATGGTTATCCACTGTAGTCAAGTCACATAAGAGAGCTTTTTTTAATCCAGTAACATAAGGTTGAATAGTGTCAGAGTTCAATTAAATGAATGTGATTGAAAATTAGAAAACTGAATGGTAATGTCGAGAGGAATACGATTTAGATAAAAAATATCATAAGATGATAGAAAACACTTTCGAGGTTCAAGTTTGTACATACTCGAACAGTCTTAGCAACAAATTTCCTGATTATGTACTATACAATAGGCTACATCAATTATGTTGTAAGGACTGTTCAAACTTCACAAAGTGGAGTGGGGTTCGTACCTGGTTGGAAGTCAACTGCCTTAATCAACAAGCCACAGATCCACTCTACTTCCAATAGAGGTCAAGTTATTCGAATAACATTGTTAGAAGAAGGTAGAGTTTAGGCTGTGAAATGTGTTACTATACCTCTAGTACTTTTAAAATGTCTCAAGCTTGAGAATAACACCAGAGAAGTTTCGAGGATAACCAATCAGGTTGTAGATGACTTATTCATGGTATCCGTTACGTCCATTTACCGTGTCGTTGACGCTGAAGAAACCTCTGATGGATTATGACGACGATTACGTTGTAGGTTGTGTTAGAAGTTTGATATAGTTGCTATTGTGGTTGAAACAAATGAATAATGAAAGAACATTTTCGATGGATAAAGGATAGTCCAACAAACTTTATCCTGGCAGTAATGCATAAATGTTTGGGAGTCATCTGAAATAGGCTACCCCAATACAGCTATTGTTTACAAGAAAAACTCCTCGTTGACCGACCGACAGCTGCCACCTTGACGTGGTGGTCGGGCTTGCATATCACAATGACGAAACAAGCTATGTTGGTGGAACGCTTTTTCCCTCGAAGTCCCACTCCATTCGTTAATGATTATATTGTATTTCGTATTCTTGATTCTGATTGGTCAGTGCACATTTGAATGTGATTGGCCGTAACACAGCTGACTTTCCAATCGAAAAGGATGATTGGTCTTCAGAAAACAAAAACAAAAAAGCAGCCCCATGTTTTAGTTTACACTTCTTTTGTATGGGCGTCAATGATGATGATAAAAACTAAGAGAAAAAAAGGTTCAACAAGTAAACTAAATAACTACCTTGACCATATTCACAAGATACACCAGCAATTAAACTTGTCCATCGTTCCAATTCTAAGCTCAACTGAAATAAATCCAAAACACTTGGTAGACAAACAGAGGATAATTCTAATTGATAACCAATACAACTGTTCACTTCTTCACCAATTATACTATCAGATAAATTTGTAATTAGTTGTTGTCGTGTATTTGTACGTGTTACATTGTTCAATGTTTGTTCAATAATTATTGACTGAGCAGCTAATTTCGCTACATTTTGTCTTAAATAGTTCAATTTATGTATTAAAGAAGCCAAGAATAACGGTGGAAGTAAACCATGACAAGAGGATGCATTCACTAAGGATAATGGTAATTTCCTATTGAAAATAATAATAATAATAATAATAATAATAATAATAATAATAAAAACACATTACAGTTGGTATGAACAGAATGAATCTTATAAATTGAACAGCTTGAAGGGTTAAAGATCGCATAATAAACCCATTATTATGTTTTTACTTGTATTATGTCGTCATCGAGTGAATCAAATTGATCAGTCTATATCGGTATACGAGCTACTACTCTACTGTGCAGATGCCTAAATATTGCCTGTATTAATCATGCATGGTGGTTAGCAGGAGAATCCTATTTAGGATGAAGTCAACTGGCTATAACTGACTCCTAGTGAGAGATGTTGTTCCTCTTAAAACTCGATCCCGGAACCGATTGCTTCAAATGCCAAGTCACGACAGACATCTCTTGTGCAACAGTTATACTTTTTATATTGTTTAAAGCAACGAAAAGCCTAGTGGAATAGAAATCTACCCAGCAACCTTGTGCACATTCTTGAAGTAGTCAGTAATAAACTAATGATACTACCTGGTTGCTCAAACCTTCCCAAATGGGTTAAGATTCAAATTCCTGACCAACTGGTTGGAAATCACGTTCCTAGACTATTGACCTCTAACAGTATGAAAGTGATCGATTCTCAGATTATTGCCTCACGACGTTATTAAGCTGCATAAATGGAACAAAATAACTTTTAAATCCTCCTAACAAGCAAATTCATATGCCTAAAAGGGGAATAGTTTATCCGAAATGTCTTCCAGTGTGTCACCAGTGATTAACCTCAACCCTTTTCATAACAAAACCTACTAACTGTGTTATGCAGTAGGTAAACTTTACTCTAACCCTACTCAAAATATCCAACAAGATGGAGTTTGTACATCAATTGCAAGAAGTATCTTGAAATAGATCAGTCTTACAAACAACTCAGTTATATATATATAGAGGCTCACTGGCTTAGGGAGATGATTTTCAACCTATGGATCGCGGGTTTCAACCCCGACCCACCTACAGAGGTTTCGGCAACCAGAGAGTATTTATTAGCCTCTTACATTCTAGGTACGGCTTTTTGACTAATGCATGAATATACACGAGGTTGCTGAGTGTATTTCTTCTTTCTGCATATATATTGAGGTGGTTTATGACGTGTGTGTAAAGTACAAAAATCTCATAACTCAATGACAAATAACTTTCAGTTTCAGAAGAACGCAATGCTTTAAATTTACAGAAGAATGAAGCAGAAATAAGTTAATTCAAGATGTACGCAGTGAACTATTAAATTATTTAGATAATAATTGAAAAGTTGTGTTCATTCGTTGTGTAAATGGGCATCTCTTAGTCAGGCACCGAGCCAGCTTAGACCAAGAGTCAGGGACTTCATCGGTTGTTACGACGCCTTGGGTTTCAACATCCTAAACCATCTTCCTACCTAATCCAACTTTCCTTAACATGACACTTCAAGATAGATAGTGGATCGGCATGCACAGTACACATCCAAGTCATCTTATTCGGCTAAGGTTGACTTGCTTGTCTTGCATATATAGCAGAATAATACTTGCTACGCCTTTAGAGTGAAGACAGGAGTAAGACAAGACTGCTTACTATCATACATGATCTTCCTGATTCTCGTCGATTGCACTGGATCATGTAACAAACTGTGAGGAGCGACAAGATGGACACACATTGGCTGGGCCGATGAAAAAAACCAGGAGAAAATTTGGATTTCGCTACCAATGATGATTAATGCCTAATATCTTGTCGCATAAGCGCGAAGATCTACAGGCGAAAACCAACAAACTGACAGGAGAGGCAGCGAAGATGGGACTTTAAGTGAATGTAGAGAAGACAGAGGTGATGAAGATACACAAGCAACAACAACAAAATAAGCAACAATCACCATCAACATGAGAAATATAAAGAAAGTTGTCCCTTTCACCTATCACCTACACAGCATCCTCTCAACTACAGGCAGAGGCACACATGAGAACGTCAAAGCCATGATCGGAAAGACAGCAACACAAGTCTTCTTCCATTAATCTGAAATCAGTGTGCAGATCTACTCCACTCCACTCCACTCCACTCAGCATAAAGCGTGAACAACATCCGCATTTTCAATACTAAGTCAGTCAAGTCAGTCTTTCTATATGGTTCACAGACTTCGCGCCTTACCAAAAGCATATTCATCAAACTGCAGACATACATCGTCAACAGCTGCCGCCTACGCTCACTCAATACTGAACATCAGATGGCCAGAACCATAAGAATAAGCAACAAGGCATTCTGGTCTGGCTTGCAACCAACCAACCAACCAACCAAGAACCTACTGCCCAACAAATATGCAGAAGAAGAGAGTGGAGATGGATTGGATTGGATTGGACATACACTGAGAAGACCGTTTGGGCAGTCGTGGAGCCAGGTTAAAAAGACTGTAGAGAACAGAGTGCAATGGCAACGGGCTACTGAAGCCCTATGTTCCACTAGAAACCCAAGGAACAAATAATAATAATAATAAGTAAATTCAGAAAAAAACACAATGACGTAAGGAATACTGAACAAAAAATGATTTTCTTTTCGTGATCCATAGAGCCGCGTCAAGTGCTGCGGAGATATTAAAGTCATTTATTTGACAGTGAAAATCGAAAACTCTCCACTATTTTACATTCATCCAATACATTATGAGATGAGGAGCTTCCAGAAGTAAAGCAGAACAACTAAACCGTAGACAGATGGGTGTTGAAAACAGTGAAAATTATTACATTCATATAATGCAACGACATTCATAAAAAATCATGACCATAAGCTGTAATTACATATTATCTGTATCCAAAAAACAGTAGCTCAGTGAAATTTACCATGCAAAGTAAACAATAGATTGATTTACATCAGGCACGTATAATTTTTAATCCCTAAGCTAATTTAAACTTCATAATAATCCACAAACATAGAAGAAACGACTGACTGACAAAATCCATATAGGACCACGAATACAGGTCTATCCGCTCACTATACCTCAAAGTAGTATACAAAGAACAAGTGGATGGAAAAAAGTGTGATATCAAAGTAGATAAAGTTGTGTAAGAGAATCTGATGTCAAGGAGTGAATACATCTGTATCCATTTTCAGCCATGTAACCAAAACTCTTCAATCATCTTTCAGATACCAATCAGGTAGTTTACTTCTCCTGAAACAGGTTTGTATGACCGCAGAGCCCATCGGATATCTGCTTGAGGCCTGTCACACACAGCCTTTTGTGTATGATTATTTTGAACTTTTGTATTTTGGGGGCCGGATAGTCGAAAGAAACGACAAATGAACCAACACCACCGGCCCGACAGACCGTGAGGCATGGTGAAGTGTCTTATTTTTGGGGGCCGACCTTTTCTAACCCCATCCCCCTTCCTCTGAGACAATAGCATCAGCATTGCACTGCTGATTATCAGAGGAAAAACCTTACTGGTGTCATATTCCATCCAGCTAGAAGCAGTACAACTTCGCCCTCAGACCCCCATCGTAGTGTAGTAATTTACACCACAAAGGTAACTGCTTTTCGTCTAACCAATATCCAACAGACCTCACTGGCATGGTAGGACCTCTAGGGAACAAGTGTTTCACCAGCATAGTTCGTTGGGTCATTTTCATATGCAAGCCCGACCACCACGTCAAGGTAGCAGCTATCGGTCGGCTCAGAACCGATGTCAATGGCGCAGATGTATGTCCACACACATTATCCTCATCTTAACAACGCTATACGAATCTCACCATTTTCTCATTCCTCTTCTCTTTCTTCTCGTACTCTATATTTCTTTTGACTGCATTCTCTTATCTTCATCTTGCACCTCACTGCCTTTTTACTTGATGTAGTGATATGAAGTGTGGCAACTCTGACCGTTACGCACTAATGCCTGGTCCTAGGTTGATTTGGATGGATGGATGATGAGTTTACACCTCACTAAACGACTCATACTGACAGGCAGAGACAATCATCCCCTGGTGCCACAACTTGGTTTGGTCACTCTGAACTCTCTTCCAACCTAATCCAACTTCTCCCAGTATGGCACATCAAGGTAGGCAGTGGTTCGGCTTCACCAGTACACTACTATACAACATTTCAAGTAGTCACATTTCAAATCAGTAAGTAAAAATAAAAACATACAACAAAAGGAAAGTAAAGAAATAAGTGGAAAGGTAATCAGAAGTTGTAGGATATTTTAAAACTATAAAAATATTTCGTCGGTAGCGTGAAGAACCTACCGTACTGAATAAGTGAAAGAAGTAACGTAGTAAGTGCCAAACGCAAAAAAATTTACAGACCTTTTAAACACTTTAGTAAAGCTTCTAGTAGTTTATTTATAAAAGTTTTCAAATTTTTGTAAAACTGACTATCCTACAGAATTTTTTCAACACATTTTGATAATCCAGGTTCGTGTTCATCATAAACTGACACCTGAGAGGACTAAATAGCTGATTTCTCTAGTATGGGACCCTTCACCAGTGAAAACCTATGACCCCAGCAGGGATCAAGCCCAGGGTCTTCAGCCTGCGAGATATCACCTGAATACTTTCGTGTATTTTTACACCTGTATCTTTCTACTGAGTATGAATCCCATGAGACTTCAGTCTTTACTAATTTCCAGATTAAATTAAAGTCAGAGTCGGTATGAAAGGCAGTTATGGGGCGACAGAGGGAGGGGTTTGGTGATTGAAACGTGAAATGAAAATCTAGACCACGGTCTGACTCCAACCAGCGATCATCAAGGTTTCCAGCCCAGCACTTAACCAACTGAGTTACAAAGTCCAACTATTGATCAGATTTTTATTTCACTTCAATCACCAAGAGTTTTTACCGACTATCACATGAATTTGCAACGTATTACTACCGTTTGGTCATACTCACATTGCTTGTCCAAGCACAATTCAAACACATACCTGTATCAATTTCAATCTAGGAGTATATATAGTCTGATAAAATTCTATCAGTTTAGGCATATTGTCCATTGACGGTTCAAAGTCTTCAAGTATTGGATACATGCTTAAAGCAGAATCAAATATACGCCTTGACTCTTGAATTGGAATTTCAGCATCTTGACTTGTAGCAGTAGCGAGTAAATCTTGACTAATTTGCCAAAAACCTCTTGCATAAGCTCGCCATAAATTTAAATCACGTTGATTTCTACCCTCAGATATAATTGTTCGACCACAATTACGCCAAATAGATATTGCAGTCTACAAGTATGAAAAAACAAAGTAAAATTTTTTATAAAATTTAAACGAAGTAACTCATGATATTCTAATCATGAATAGCCTCTACTGGTGAAAACACGTGTCCCAACTAACGACTGAAGTGGTGGGGACATGTGTTAAGCATGCCTAGTCACACAATGTTGGCCAGGTCCAGACTGGAAAAAGGCTCGAGATGGCCATACTAAGACATGCCACCAATGTAAGAAGTCTCTAACTGTTGGTTTAAGCCATGTGAGGCAATGCAGGACTAGTCGGTTGGGGTCCACGAGACAAGACGAACAAGTGGTTGGAGACTGACTGTAGGTGACGAGATGGCTGAGAACCGATGTCAGTGGCGCAGGTGTGTGTCCACACACATTATCCTCATCTTAACAACGCTATGCCGAATCTCACCATTTTCTCATTCTTCCTTTCTCTCTTTGAGTACTTTAAATTTCTTTTGACTGAGATTTCTTGTCTTCATCTTCCACTTCACTACCTTTTTACTTGATGTATTGATATGAGGTGTGGCAACTCTTACCGTTACGCAGTAATGCCTGGTCCTATGTTGGTTTGGATGGATGGCAAAAACTTCAAAAAGTGAATCACTAGAGTCGTAAACAACAATAATTAGAAAAAAGTAAACTGATATTTGAAGGTGAATCAGCGAATATGAGTATAATTGGAGCTCAGCATCTATGTGCACTAAGTGATACCAACTGTATAACAACCACTGATACTATCTGATCTGATCTGTAGATTTTGCTAGCTAGATGAATAATGATCTAAACACTACATGACCATTAAATATATCTCTCGGATTGACACTGTTGATCACTTCAACCTTGAACCACCGAAACAACCCATCCGACCTGACCTGAGTGTAATCTTGGTTGATTTAAGGAGATGACTATCAACCAGTAGGTCACTGGTTTGGACAACCAGGTAATATCACGATAGGCTTGCCTCACTACCTAGTAAGTTATTCCTCGCTGGAGTCGGCAGGCAACAACTAACCAGTTGACAGAAGAGGTAGGGCAGGGCATTGAAGGAAGACGGGACTTCAAGTGAATATAGAGAAGACAGAGGTGATGATGACACCCAACCACCAGCACCACCACCAACAACAACAACAAGTTCCAATCACCATCAACGGGAGAAACTTAAAGGAAGCAGTCTCTTTCACCTATCTACGCAGCACTGTTTCAACTACAGGAGTCGGCACAGGCACAGGCACAAGCACAGACAAGGACGTCAAAGTCAGCCAGGATCGGAAAAGCACGACAGGCATTCATAAGCCTAAAACCAGTATGGAGATCTTCTGCACTCAGCATAAAGCGTGAACAACATCCAGATTTCCAACAGTAATCTCAGTCAAGTCACTGCTTCTATATGGTTGAGAGACTTGGTGCGTTACGAATGGCATTTCCAACAAACTACAGACATTCATCAACAACTGCCTACGCTGGCTCGTTACTGACACTGAAGATCAGATGGCCAGAATAATAAGAATAAGCAACAAGGAAGTCTGGTTGGCTAGTAAAGAACCAACCATGAACTTATCGCTCAATAAATATGCACTGGAAGGAAGTGGAGATAGATTGGATTAGGCATACACTGAGAAGACCATTCGAGGATATCACGTGCCAGGCCAGGCACTCAAGTGGAATCCAGATAGGAATGGCGAGTTGGGCATGCGAGGTGAGGGTGACATGGAAGAGGTCGAATGAGGAGGAAATCAGAGCTTGTTGGCAGTAGTGGAGCCAGGTTCAACAGATTTCGAAGAAGAGAGTGGAGTGGAGTCCTATGTTCCACTAGGAACTCAAAGGATAAATATTAAATAATAATAATAATATTATTATTATTGCATCAGTTAACTTACTGACATATCATTATCATCTCTGATGAAATATCATCATCACAAATAACAATAGTAAGAAAATCAAAATGCTACAACTTTAACTATCTACCTTAACATTAGCTAAATGTGTTTGAATTGCATTTGAAAGACGTTCAGATGCAACTGTAAAACGTAGTTTACTCAATGTTGTACACCAATTCTCTTTAATTTTTAAAGGCCACAAAATGGTAAATCATTCATTTGAACAATTGCTGAATCAATAAAACAACGATGAGCTTGAGACCAAACATCTTGATGTTCATTAGCCAACTGTGAAGGTGTATTCAATTGTTCATTTTTATGATTAATATCATTTTGTTGATTTGATATTTCTGAATTACTTGATATCCATGATTCAGATGGAAATGGTGTTAAACCTTGACGTTGAACAGTTCCAACAGAAGATAAATCATGTACAAGACGTATATCTAATAAGTGAAGTGAAGAAGAGAAAACAACAACAACAACAACAACAACAACAGAAAAGCATTTTAATACAAATACAAATTTAAAAAAGGATGATATAGAAAACACCCACAGTTTGATTAACAACGTTTTCAATGACATCAAATTCACAATGGAAAAAAAGAGTCAAACAACCAACTACCATTCCTGGATGTTTTAGTCAGTAGGACAAATACCGGAAAGCTGGAAACTCAAGTCTACACGAAGCCAACATACACTGACTGCGCAAATCCTCAACTACAATAGCAACAACCCAACAGCACACAAAATCAGTTGCGTACAAACTCTATTCAAAAGAGTAAGAACACACTGAACCACAATAACTTCACGGAGAAACGAAGAAAATTACTTGATGTCTACCATAAACAAGAACGGCTGCCCACGAGTCTTTATTATCACAACATGCCTATCCCGTACATCATCAACTACAAAGTCATCGACACAAATCAACAAACGCATCATCCTACCATACATAAAGAATATATCAGAAATCACAACAAGATTGCTGAGATCATTTGGAATTGGTGTGGCCACTCATAAACCAACAAATTACCTCCAAACACTATTATGCAAACCAAAGGATGCAACAAGGAAAGAAGACAAACCGAATGTCATCTACAAAATCAACTGCAATTACTGTAGTCAACCAACCCTACATTAGACAAAGCGACCGCCCTCTTCGCCTTCGTCTACATGACCACCAATTGGCTAGTAAACGCCACGACATTTCGTTACTCATTTCAATCCACGTGGATAACAACTATGGACATCAATTCAATTTCCACAATGTAGAAATTTTAGATGGAGAGAGGAAATATAAAGAATGTCAGAGAATTTCTAGAAGCTTGGCATTCATGTCAGTCAGCAATCAATAGATGTATAGACAAAGACCCAATCTATCAATCAATAAGAAAAATGATAAACGACAGAACGGTCAGAGGTGAAGCAGAGGAACAGCCAAAAATAAAGTCTATACAATCAATGACACAACAATCAAAGGAAACAACCAATCACAAACCAGTTGGTCAGGGCGAGCTACTAAATCACTCACTCACGGAGAGATATTCACAGCTCAATTCATACTGAAATTAGTGCTGATGATGTCGTCTAGCAAACCGATGAAGCTTCACGATTAAACAACCCACCTCAAACAACACAATACAACCAAGACCATCTCCACCTGAGCTACAAGTATTCTCTATCATTACAAACTATTTTACATCAATGTAAAAGTCATTAGTATATGAGTGGATTAATGATTGAAAATGTCAATAAAATAGGCTTAAGTTGATTTCCTAGCGTCCACTTTTAATGACACATACATTTTTTCTCATTTCACTGTCTGAGATAGCAGTGGTTTTACAGACTAGTACTGATAATGAATGTGAAATTTTGGACTGCAGCCGGATTCGAACCAGCGACCACCGGGGTTTCCGACCTGATGCTCTACCAACTAAGCTACAAAGTCCAACTGCTGAGCAGATGTTTTTCATTTCATTTCAATCACAAGGTAGGGTTTTGCCTGACCAACGTTACTACCGTTTTCTCGTATTCACACTGGCTGCCTACCAATCAGGACTTCTCATCCTAATCGAAATCGAAATGAATTAGAAAGGTGCAGCATCATATTGATTATCATTTCTGACTATCTGAGGTAGCCGTGAGTGGTTTGGTAGACTACTACCGATATTGGATGGTGATGATTGAAATAAAAAGTTGGACAGTTGCCGGATTCGAACCGAAGACCACCGAGTTCCCGGACCGACGCTCAGTTGGTACAGCATCGGGTCGGAAACCCGGTGGTCTCTGGTTCGAATCCGGCCATGGTCCAAATTCTCATTTCACCTTCAATCATCACTCAGTATCAATACTAGTCTGCCAAACCACCGCTACCTCAGATAGTCAAAATGTCAATTTGATAAGTGTTCTTCTGCATAAATGATTCCAAGTTGTCAGAATTGTAGAATAAAGGTGATATCCATGTTTAGTGTGTTGTGTGTGAATTACAGATTGAGATTTGTATGTGCACGTGTGTTGATAGTTATTATCGTTCCCTTATTCCTATTTAGACAATTATGATCCCCCTTTATGTGAAGAGATTCTACAATCAGACGATCAATCAATCAATATCAACATACGACCAGGCATTACTGCGCAACGGTCAGAGTTGCCACACTTAATATCACTACATCAAGTAGAAAAACAGTGAGGCGCAAGATGAAGATAAGAGAATGCAGTCAAAAGAAATATAAAGTAAGAGAAGAAAGAAAAGAGGAATGAGAAAATGGTGAGATTCGGTATAGCGTTGTTAAGATGAGGATAATGTGTGTGGACACACAGCTGCGCCACTGACATCGGTTCTCAGCCATTTCGTCACCTAGAGTCAGTCTCCAACCACTAGTTCCTCTTGTCCGTGGACCCCAACCGACTAGTCCTGCATCGCCTTACATGGCTAAAACCAGTTGTCAGAGACTTCATACATTGGTGCCATGTTTTAGTCTGGCCACCTCGAGCCTTTTCCCAGCCTGGACCCACCTCAGCCAACATTGTGTGACAAGGTAATTGGTGACTGGCATACGTAGTACGTGTCCCAACCATCTCAGTCGATAAAGGTTCATAATCTCGTCTACTGATTTACCTCTTCTCTCTAAAACTCTACACCTGACTTCTGTATTACTCACATGGTGACACCACGGAATACGTCCTATACTACGAAGGCAATGCTGGTCGAATACCTGAAGCCTTCTCATGTCTTCCACCTTCAATGGCCATGTTTCACAGCCGTACAGTAGAACAGAGCAGACTGCTGTGCAGTACACGCGACCCTTAATGGACAAACGACTATCACGGCGGCGCCGTAGGTGGCGTAAATTGGCGAAAGCCAATCGAGCCTTTTGTAACCGTGCAGAGATTTCATCGACAACTAACCCACCAGGGTTGATCCTACTTCTCAGGAAAGTGAAGTGGTCGACACACTCAACCACTTCATTCTCCATTGTTAGTCGCAGCACCGCTGAAGACCAGTCCTCGAGCAACAATAAGACGATCTTTATAGTTTCTCAAAGCCTTTCTGAATAATTTCGATATTGTTAAAATTGACCTTGTAACCACAAATTACAGCGAATAGAGCTATGGCTAAAGTGATTTCAGCTAAAGTGTGTGAAGACACTTCCTTCGAATTTGCCTGAGCTAAGTTGATGATACATTCGTAATTTCGAAATCTGACAAGTACACTATGCTGCAGTTCGCTTTGTTCTCTTATGCGGCTGTGAAACATGGCCGTTAAATGAAGAAGACATGAAGCGATAACAGATGTCTGAGTAGTACTGCTCACGCTTGATGAAATCACCATGTGAACAATGGTATGGTCAAACGAAAAGTGCTACACAGGATAAACAAGTCGATTGATCAGATTGTGAACCTTATTCGATTGAGATGGCTTAGATATATATGTACAGCATATGCCGATCCACTGCCTACCTCGAGATGTTATGCTAGGGGAAGTTGGAATAGGTAGGAAGAAGGTTCAAGTTAGCCAGACGATAACCTGGCAAAAATCAACCAATTCTCTTTTTTTGTTGGTCTGAGTCGTGTAGGGAGATGTAGACTGCCTGATCAGGGTCCTAAGAACGAAAAAAATGCTTTACCTTCAAATTACTTGTTCGCTCACACAACTTCGTCTACTTTCATACCACTCTCTTTCCATTCACTTCTTCTTTGTATACTACAGTGAAATGTAACAACTTGAAGTGATGCATTTATGTGACAGGCTTTTACGCTGATTTTCTCAGTCACTTGTCACATCCAATTACATAAAAGCAAAGTAAGTACGATAAATGGCTTTAAAACGTAAACAACACAACAAAAACAGCATGCAAATGTCAGTCAATCAGTAAGGATCAACGCTCGTACTACAGTTACTGAAAGTGGCTCAATTTACTACACCTAACATCACTGAACAAAGATTCAACGAAACTGACCGAAATGAAAAAAAGAGATATGAAGAAAAAAATGTAATTGAAAGTCACAGCAAGTCAAAGATAAGAAGTAGAAAGTTAAAACAATGATGAAATATCCTATGAAAAGAAATTAGGATGAAAATAATACATCGCTGTATTTATGCTAGTGAGATTGACTGTGAACTGTATCATTTGGAGTTTCAGCCTACTGATTTCAGTTGTAATCCGTAGGCAAACCGAAAGGTTGACAACTCTCTGCACTACACCAATGTCAAATTGTATTATCATCACGTTGCGACATTATCATCATCATCATCATCATCAATGTCAACATAGCACAAGGCATTACTACGTAACGGTCTGAGTTGTCACACATATCAGTACATCAAGCAAAAGGGTAGTGAAGTGGAAGATAAAGATGATGAAATTTAGTCAAATGAAATATAAAATACTCAAAGAGAGAAGGGAAGAATGAGAAAATGGTGAGATTCGGTATAGCATCGTTAAGATGAGGATGATGTATGCATACATTTGCGCCAGTGACATTGGTTCTCAGCCATCTCGTCACCTACAGTCAGTCTCCAACCACTGGTTCGTCTTGTCCCGTGGACCCCAACAGACTAGTCCTTCATTGCCTCACATGGCTCAAACCAGTTGTCAGAGACTTCATACATTGGTGCCATGTTTTAGTCTGGTCACCTCGAGCCTTTTCCCAGCCTGGACCCACCTCAGCCAACATTGTGTGACGAGGCATTCGGCGACTAGGCATGCGCAATACGCATCCCAACTATCTCAGTCGATGAAGGTTCATAATCTGATGCAACAAGGCTATCAGTATATTAATCTTACCCGTGGGGAAGTTATAAGTCTTGGCCACTTCACGATCATATGCACCAAGGAATTCTAAGCATAACAAGAATAAACGTTGTTGAAGTAATGCTTTACGCGTTTGACACTGAGAAGTATCGACTGTAGGCTTTTCTTCATATTTCCATAAATCTATTAAGCATGGTTTCACATCATCGAATAGAACTAATCTATCAGGATCTTCATCTTCAATAGCCTTTTGATCTTGTATATTCAATACATCTGAAGGTAACCAACCAACTGCTTCACGTGCACGTTCTAAACCAACCCAAGCTTTACCACGACGATATAAAATAGCTCGACTTCTTCCTTCCAAATGAACCATGTCCTGCTAGTGAAGGAATATGTCCACGACGAACCCATTGATCAGCAGCAACTTCAGATGATAAAATAGATGGGACAACATCTGGACCTGTCTTTTCATACGATTCATCAGGAATACCTTCACCGGAACAATTGATCAATGCATCTTCACATGTACTAGCTATGGCTAAATAGAAGTTGAAGATATTAGACAATAGTATACAAAATTATTAATTATGAGACAATATTCGTAAGTCATTACATTGAAACCAACAGCAAATGCATAAAATAAGCTATCAACTAAAAAAGAAGCTGGTACTACACCACAATTAACCTGATATGGTTTACAGACAAGATCGGTAAGAGGTTAGTATGGAGTTCTTAAACATTATTGATTCAAAAGAAAAAAGGAACTAATCTTGTTAGGCAACCGAGAACATACATAGGCAATATGACTATCAATTATCCCTGAGTATAGTTGATAGAAGATTGCCAGTCTTTCCGGAACACATCATTCAATAATGATCACGAACTGATTCGAGCAAATCTATATTTCAGGCTAAATAGACGGAGGAAATCTACAACTTGAAGACTGTTTCATTTGCCATTCGATGACAAGAATGGCTAAGACTTCTTCCAATGAACAAGTGACTAGACCATTATTGGAATACGACAACATCCATCATTCTTAAAAACTCTGATACCATTTGCATTCTGATATAAAACCAGTGGTAAAAACCATAACCGATCCACAGAAACAGTTTAAAGGTAGCCGATAGATCTCATTAACTGTATATGAATTAATGGAAGCACGTGAATGAATCATTGCAGGATTCTAGCACAACACTGAGCGAAAACAGCTAAATCAGATTGACAGTCTTCGCAATGACTGTGAACAACAGTAAACAAAGAAGCCCCACGAGATGGAAAAGCTACAGGCGAGGGGTAACAGTAGACGGTAATTTCTACTGGTTAAGAAAACTAAAGCAAAAAATCTAATGATTAGTGAAAACGTATGAGAGGAGGACGGGTCTACAGCTGAATGAACAGGGAAGATGACTACAACGATGAGCAGGATAATTCGAGTAACAGTTAACCTAACCTCTCTAGTTTTCCGCCATCCAGATCGGTCCTGAAAGGAAAACTGGATAGGCCCTCCAACTCCTGTAGGAGTTGAGAAGACTGTATGTCAACTGAAACGAGAGAAAGTAATGGACCCGATGGGCTATACCATCTTATTCGACGGCTATTACTTAAATTCACTCTATGTAAATCAAATATGATCTCCTTGGGCTGGTCTCAAACACTGATTGCCACAGTCTTCAAGAAAGGAGAGAAATCATCCTCCGATATCCACAGAGGCGTCAGTCTGATGAACATACTATCAAACGATCCTACATTCTATGATCCTCACAAGCTTAAGTGAAACACAAAAACATTAAAACTCAGAAAACAAGGCAGTTTTTACAACTGGTCATGGGTGTATCAACTAGTTATTCACCCTCCACAAGATTCTGGAACACATACTTTCTGATTCTGAATTGAACTGAAGTTGACCGCTATGAAAAACACATCTGAACGTCTGGTTTCAGCAGAAGGTTAGATAATTTTCCCTAGAAGTCATCTTTCGCTTCGTTCGAACTGCAGTCATTCGGTGTATACGCAAAATTAAACAAGGAAGACAGTGGTGAATTTCACTATTCATTAAAGATGTAGGTGTATTCCTTGACGTGAAGGCGACAACTAACTTCTTCAACCGACTGAAATGCGTGCCAGGTAACTACATTAACTCATAACAGGCACTGTATTTGAACACCTATGAGTGTATTTCAGCCGAGGGTAACTTATCATATGAACTGTATTGATCGATCGATGTCCAGTCACTCCAGTCACTCTAGTTTCATCATAAACATGCTTATTAAGGTCTCCAAATCACCATTTTATTTTGCGAAGATTCACCTTAACACAGGATATCCTTTAATCGGTTTAAAGTGTGCAGTGATAAATTCCTTCTGAGTGACGACACTTACAAGATGTAGGGTCAACTGCATAACTTCAGTGGTGATTCGAGAATATTTCGGACAACTTCCTCACCATTCAAATGCAAATCTCTGCTCTAGTAGTCTATTGGTATCTAATCTAACAATAGGGGGTAATGCTGCTGATCGTAGTGACCTAATTTTATAACATTCTATAATCTGTAATGACCATCTGCTAAAGTATCGATTTTCTTTATCGCTACGGTAGCATCGAATTTAGTATACACAGAGGGAGGCTAGGTCAATCAAAAACTCAAAATGATGAAAATTTTATGACATTATGAAGCCTACAAATTACACATATAGTGGGATTTAACAGAAGCATGATTAGTTAAATGACTAACTGACAAAATAAGCGTAGAACCTCGTACATAGATCCATCACTTCACTACACTTCACAGCAGTAAATGAAGACAGTTGAATAGAAAAAGAGTAATATCAAAGTAGACAACCTTGTGCGAGAGAATCAACAGTCCAAACATAACAGATAGCGCAAATATTCAAACTTTAGATGTCAAGGAGTGAATATATCTGCGCTATTCTGACCGATTTCTAGTCAGATCACCAGAGTCCTCAACACTGATTCTTTTTGTTTCAGTGACCCCAACTACTCAGTCTACATCTCCCTACACGACTCAGACCAACAAAAAAGAGAATTGGTTGATTTTTGCGAGGTTATCGTCTGACTAACCTGAACCTTCTTCCTACCTATTCCAACTTCCCCTAGCATAACATCTCGAGGTAGGCAGTGGATCGGCATATGCTGTACATATATATCTAAGCCATCTCAATCGAATAAGGTTCACAATCTGATCAATCGACTTGTTTATCCTGTGTAGCACTTTTCGTTTGACCATACCATTGTTCACATGGTGATTTCATCAAGCGTGAGCAGTACTACTCAGACATCTGTTATCGCTTCATGTCTTCTTCATTTAATGGCCATGTTTCACAGCCGCATAAGAGAATAAAGCGAACTGCAGCGCAGTATACTAGTCCTTCGAAATAAGTACATAAGGTACCAGGAAGCATGATGTCCATTGGACAATTGAAATCACTGCTAGCGGATAAGTGTATGTATTGATATACAAAATAAGACTTCCAGCATTATATACTAATAAGATAACAAACCATTTAGTTTTCCTTCCAGCTACATTGGTCCATTTCAGCTGTATTTCTTCAATCGACATATCTCGAGTGATCTCTGAAATGATAGATGAAAAACAATGACTTTCTTATGACTTTTAGATGATTGTGATTCATTTGATTTCAATTTTTCTTGTCGTCTATTTCGAGTTTTATACCAACCATTCCAATGTTGAGAACCAGGTTGACCGAATCTAGCTACACCACTTGACCAATACAACTCCATTTCCAGAATACGTTGATCAAATGAAGATTTTTCAAGTTCTATAGGTCGAAAACAATTGAATTCAATAACAGCTTGCCAAACTGCTAAAGCTCGTTTGCATGACCTGCTTGGGCTAACCAGTGACAGTAATCAGCTAGGAAATCTGATATACATAAGGGAATAAAAGAGAATATTAATAGACTTTATGAAAAAGGCACAACGCGAGCTACATTTAGAATGTACAGTGAAGCAGTTTGTATTCCCTTTATTATAAAGGCATTTGAAATATTAGAAGGATAATTCTATGTCAGTTGGGTGTGTATCTGACATCCAGTGAGTGATCCCGTTCCGACCGAGACTCCCATCCAGCACTCAGATTCAAACTCCATAGTGTTATCCCACTAGGCTACTGAGTAGCCGACACATTACACAGAAACCTATATACCATCCAATGTACGACGGAACTTCAACTGACTTTCTAAAAGCACTGTTGCGAAGTGTAACAAGGTTAACCAGTATGTCTTTTTGAAGGGTCCTATTTTTCCTATCCACTATTCATTGTTTTTTTTTATACAACATGTTGGTTTATGGGGATTTATTTGTTCATTTCAGGTTGGTATTCACTATGGACTGACATCTATGACCCCGCCATGGATGATGAAACAGCTCTACAGAGCTCCCAGGTTTCCAACGTTTCTGCTCCTCATGTTACTCCACGATGAATACCAACTTGAAATCAATAAATCCCCACTAACCCCCAAATTGAATTGTTCTAGTGCTCATTAGTGACTAGCTTTGAGAGGTGATTCCCGAAGTTCTAATGAATAGTCGTGACTAGTGGGGCAAACCCGGTGCACATGATGACAAATATCAAACGATGAGATTGGCTGATGGTCACGCTATATCGTGAACTGACAGAAGTTGGAAATATGGCTCATTGGATTCCGACACGGTGACTCAATGTTAACGTGCTGGTCGCGGAACCTGAAGGGTCTGGGTTCGATCTCTGGCGGGGTCATAGGTGAGCACTGCTGAGGAGTCGCATACTAGGACGAAACAGCTGTCTAGTGCTTCCAGCTGATCGATGTCTCTCTAATTCATGTCAGTCCATGACGAATACCAATATGAATTCAATCTTTACAATTTCAGCAAAAGACGCAATTTTACTAAGGAAACACAACGAATGTTGTTGATCAACAAGTCATGTTTTGTAATACTTCAAATGTCAGAAAAATACAGAATTCATTGACCATGCAACACCTACTGGGTGAGAACTAACGAATGACCTACCTACCTATTCGAAGCTTTCTCTGTACTTCGGTCAACCTTCGGAACCTACACCTTTCGGTCAAGAAATATGACAATTCGGGAACTGAAATCTCGAACAAAATACCGCACACAAATAGGATTCACAACTTTGAAGAAAAGAGTCATTTCAACTTTTCATGACTAACTAAATACTAAGGATATGCAACGCATGTTACGGCTATGCAATACCTTTAGAAGCCTAAGCCTACGGCTAATAAGTGATATTTTACTAAAAATAACCTCTCCTCAAATTAAAATGCATGTCTCAGTGCTCAAATTGCATCAAGTTTGCGCTTCGAATAAAAAACAATGCTATACATAGTAAGTGTTGAAAGAACTGATGGAAATCAATGTTCCGTACTAATTGAATGAGCTTTCAGTCAGTCAGAATCGACGTGGGAACCTGCATTACTGCGTTAGCTTCCAGGTTTATACACCTCATATCGGCACATCAAGCAAGACATAACCAAGCGTTTAAGATAAACAAGAAAGCAGTTCAACATGCAGGAAGTCGTGGAAAAGAAAACAAAGAAGAAAAAAGAAATTCGGTGAGATAATTAGGACGACGATAGTATGTGGTCATAAATGTGCCACTGTTAACGATTCTGTGGCAAACCATATAGTCTAGAACCATTCCTATTTCAGTTGCCACCTGAACACCAACCAGGAAGTTTACACCCCGCTACTCGCATCAGACAAATAGTTAAAGACTTCAGGAATTATCACGTTTTCCTATTTTTAATTAAGAATTGTTTCGTACCTAAAGGTACTTGATTTAACACTAGACGACAGGGAAGACAATGACCGGACACTCCTAAGACACGTACTAATCACCTAAGTCAATATACGTTTATAACTTCATCAGGTGACTAATCTCTTCTGCACGACTTCTTTAAAGTTATTTTTCATGTGTGTCACATAGTAAAACATCATTTTAGCGGGAACTCTACCCCTGACTTCTGCATTACTGATGCAGTAATTCGGCAATATACAACCACTGTTAAGAAGGCAACATTGGTTGCACACCTGAAGTCTTCCCATTTCTTACATATTTAATGGTCATGTCTGACGGTCATATAGTAGAAAAGAGCGAACTACTTCACCGAATACTCAACGCTCAATAGACAATTGGACATCTATCTCAGCGACATCATAGGTGGTGTCGGTTGGAAAAGCTAATCGAGCCATTTGTATCTGTGACAATATTTCGTAGGTTACTGACCCATCAGAGCTGATCGGAATTTCGAAGTATATGAATTAGTTAGTGAGGTGAGGCACTTCACTTTTCAATCTTTTCAGTCCTTACTGTACAGTTCAGTTGAGCAGAGTACTTTTTGCTTAAGGAAGTAATGCTATACGCACACCTGTAAAACCATGAGAACCAGTCTTCAAATCTCCGGAAACCCAAAGACTGAATTTTAAAGATATAACCATACTGGCCAAGTGAGGTTAAGTGAATAAGCCGCTCATACACGTCCATAACCCAAGCTGCTAGAGTTTTGACTACTAAAGCTTGTCGGCCAAATTAACGGAGGTTGTGGACATTAAAGCTACAACGTTTGATTTGGAGAGTGGTTTCAGTCAACTAATGATACTGTTCCATGAACTCAAATCGTTATGAAAGGCATCAAAGCTGAAATAAAATAAAGATAATGTAGGAGCAATCTTACACAGGTAACCGTAGTCCAACATACAGAAACAGTTATCAGACATCCTCACTCCACAAAGTCTACGTTTCACAGGTGTACAATAGAAATCCCTACATCAGAGTGTTATATACTTGACTATTTATACGAAGTCATACGTCACAATTAATCTCGCCTAGTTATCAAGTTCACTAGTTACTAGCCGGTCCTAAACCCGGATAAAGAGGGAAGGTTAGGCATAGGGTTAGCAAACCTGCCCAGTAAAACCAACCCAAATACTAAAGAAACTTCAAAGCACAGACAAAATATAAAAAATAAATACAAACTTATTCCTCTTTGGAATCCGAGAGGTGAAATGATGCCAGTTGGTGAAAGCCTTTGGGAAGCCAATTGGCCGATATGTCTTCTCTCCCTCGATGAAAGCGAAAGTAATCGTGCTGACATGGAATGTCCGCACCATGTTTCAACCCAGCAAGGCAACCCAGATCGCAAGCGAGATGAAGAGGTGTCACATTGAAGTGTTAGGAATTTGCGAAAGCAGATGGAATGGGAGTGGACTCTCCAAACTGTCAACTGGAGAATCAATAATCTACTCTGACATTGTCACACAGACGACAACCACGAGCACACTGAGTTATGGAGTGGCTATCATAATGTCCCCAACAGCATCGAAGTCCCTCATGCAGTGGGGACCAATCTCCTCCTGCTGGATCATAACAGCGAGGTTCAACTCAAAAGGAAGGAAGGAAGGTCACAATCATACAATGCTACGCTATGCACCTACAAATAATGCAGAGCAAGAGGAGAAGAAGGAAGAACTCTACAGACAGTTGCAATCAGTAATGGACAGGACCCCACCCCAGAGAGTGACATCATCGAAGGCTCTCTTTCATGCAGTGGGAACCAGTCTCCTTCTGTAGAAACATGACAGCAAGATGGATTCAACTCAAAAGGAAGGAAAGTCAAAATTATTCAGTGCTGCGCTACACGCCAACAAATAATGCACATGAAGAGAAGAAGGAGGAATTCCACAGACAACAGCAATCAGTACTAAACAAGACTCCACTCCAGTTGGCAACATCAAAATTTTAATGCATCAAGTGACATCAATGCCAAACTGCGAGGAGAGGACAACACAGGAAGATAACTCATCATGGGTCGATAAACACTCGGTGAAATGATGAATGAGAATCGAGAACTGTTTGCAGACTTCAGCGAATTCAACGATTTGGTGATTGGAGGCTAGGCAGTGTGCATAAACACAAGGATATTCACAAGGCAGCGACATGGATTTCACCAGATACCAGGATACACTGAAAATCACACCGACTTCATCTCAATGTGAAGAAAGTGCAGACGCAGTCAGCCTACTGAACACAAGATCAGATCAAGAAGGGGAGCAGATGTAGGTTGACACCACTCACTATCTACTGCAAGAAACCTTCCAAATCAAATTGAAAGCCGTCAAACAAATCGGTAATAGACCACAGTTTAAGTTCAACACCCAGAACAGAAACTGAACTGAAGTACGAAACAACAAAGGACATCTTCACGTCCTCAGCCATTAGGAAAAAATGGGACGCATTAGGCAACATCCCTGAAGAAACCTGCGTCCAAGAACACCAGAACCTTTTGAAAGAGATACAGAAAAAGAAACCTGCATAACCGTATTAGGAAGGAAGAAGAAGCAAGACCAGCAATGCATCTCAACGGACACACAGAAGCTGATAGCTGAGGGAGAGGAAGATGGTGAAGCAGAAGATGAACCAGTGCAGCGCAGTGCAAGGATGAACAACGAAAAGAGGAACTGAGAACAATGTATAAAACACTACACTGGACAAACAAATGAAGAAGAGTGCACTCAAAGACAAAAAACACTTCTACAACACATTGGCAAGTAAAGCAGAACAAGTTGCTGGTAGGAGAGACCTGACAACACTATATAAAATAACCAGGTTACTATCTGGAAAGAGATCAACACAGATGAAACTTATGAAACATAGTGAAGGGAACCTAGTTACCAAAGAAGAGAAACAAAGGAAACAATGGGCTGACCACTTCAAAAAACTCTTGAATCGACCACCACATGCAACTCGTCCAGAAATACCACCAGCAGCTCAACCACAGAACTATCAGTGAACACAAGCCCTTCGACAAAAGCAGAAGTGAACTCCTGAACGCCATAAGGTTGCTGAAATCCGGGAAAACA